TGAGACTCCTCAGCCTCCGCGGCCGTCGAAATTGAGACAGATTCTTAAGGCTACTGTTGTGGTTTGTTGATTTGCTTCGGTTTTGTATTCTTTTTATTTTTTTTTTTTTTTTTTTTTTTTTTCTATTTCTGTGTGAACATTTATTTTACTTTTTAATACGTTTTGGCTTCTTTTGTTGGCGAGTTGTTGGGTTTCTGATTTTGATGACTGATGTACGCTATGATGTTATGTATTAGTGGGAGGTTTAAAATTCTTTTGACAATGAAATTGGATTCTTGGGCTACACTGGTTGCATTGGAAGGACTGTTCCCTTTCCAGATCTTTAGATCCGACTCCTGCAGGAACCATAAAAAGCCGATTATACCACAGGAATAGCCATCCCATCACCTCTCGGATCACTACCAGCACTATACACCAGAACTCCATCATCATGGTGACACCGAATAATCTGTCCCCTCCCGAACATCCCCCTCTTCCACCCCTCCAACACCTGGATCTTATGCCCCATCTTCTTCAGACCCTCAACAGCCTCCGCACTAACCCCTTCCTCAACGAAAACGGTCCGATCCATATCCTTCCCAGGCTCCGGAGACGTAGCCGCGAGACAGATGCGTGGTGCATCCAATGCCGCCTGCGGGTGGTATTTGAATGCTAACATGTTCAGTAGGACTTGCACGTGGCCCTGGGGCTGCATGAACCCGCCCATCACGCCGTATACGGAGTGCAGGGAGCCATCTGTGGAGTTCGTAATCATGGCGGGGATGATAGTGTGGTAGGGTCTCTTGCGGGGAGCCAGGGCGTTAGGGTGCCCAGCTGTAAGCGAGAAATTGCATCCGCGGTTCTGTAGGGTAAATCCACAGCCTTGGGGGATGATTCCGGTTCCAAAACCGGCGTAGTTGCTGTTGATGAAGGAGATGCCGTTGCCATCCTTGTCGGTTACGGCGAAGTACACCGTGTCGCAGTGGTTGTGTGCTGGGCTGCCGTGGTCGAGGACATTGGATGCTTGATCTGGGTTGAAAAGTTTGGCGCGTTCAGCCAGGTAGGGCTGCGAAATGAGTTCGTTTGTTGGAACCTTTTCGACATCCGGGTCTGTAACCCACCAGGATGAGTCTGCGAAGGCGATACGGAGACTTTCAATCACGGCATGCAGGTATTCGGCCGAGTTGTGCTGGTCCTCGGTGAATTGTGGGATTTTGTGTGTGCGTTCGAGTTCTTCGAGGATTCCCAGTGCCATCAAGGCGACGATACCCTGTCCGTTAGGGGGATGCTCCCAGATCTCGACACCGTGGTGTTTGCCGTCATCAGTGCCGGTGCGTTGGTTCTCCACAATATTCTGGCCGCTGAATTTAAGCGAAATAGCGTCTGTTGCTTGAGTGCCGGTTTGCGCGTGGTGCTTAAGGTCATCAAGAGAGATGTAGCCGCCAAGATCTTGGACTACCTTGACGATCGCCTCTGCAATCTGGCCCTCGTAGAAGCCCTTTTTGCCTTCTGCTGCTAGAGAGCGGAAGGTCTGAGCTAGGGTCGGGTTCTTCAGGATATCTCCGGGCAGGGGACTCCTAACACCGTCTTTGCCGTTGGGATCTGTCTTCAGCATTTCCCGAAAGTTCGGCGATGCATTGCGGAGCAGATTCTCGCTTTCTTGCCACTGTTTCCCAGTCAATCTTCTTCCAATTGAATAGCCATGAACATGGAAAGAAACTCACAAACGTAGAAGCCAACTCCGAAACCGGAAACCCCTCCTCTCCCAGCTCAATAGCCGGCTTCAAAATCTCCTCCAACGACAACTTACCACTTCCAAACCTCTCAACCGTATCAACCCACCCCGCCGCAGCACCGGGGACAGTCACCGCCAGAGCACTAGACATGGGAATACAGCCACCCTGGTTCTCAGGCGCAATATTCAAGTCACTCCGGACCTTCTCGATGCTCGCATTGCCGGCATAGCGACCAGAACCATTAAGAGAACTGATCTTCTTGGTTTTGGAATCGTAGTATAGACAGAACATGTCACCGCCAATGCCGGTGGAGCTTGGTTCCGTGATGTTTAGTGCTGCTGCTACGGCTACGGCGGCGTCCTTGATGTTGTTAGTATGTATAGATCGGGGCAAGATGCAATGGACATACAGCAGCATTTCCACCCTCCTTCAGAATCCTCTGTCCAGCAGCCGCGGCTAGAGGTTGCGTGCACGAGACAATACCTTTGGTACTATGGACGGTACTTCTCCGGCTGGAGAACGGGACGAAGTCCCCGTTGAGTTTGGAGTAGACTGCTTTTGAATTGAGTGGCATTTTGATAGTTTTTCTGTCTGTCAATGGGATCTCTTGGGGATTAAAATAACGGGAGAGAAGAAGATTGGAGAAGAAATGTTGATGACTGGGGGTGGGTTAGTCGTTATCAGCCTTACCCCGCTGGAGGGACCCTCTACTTTCCCTCGGGAAGACGGAGATATATCCATCTCCGAACCTACTCTGTATGCCGTGATAATACCCTAAATTAGAAAATCCCCGACTTCACAAATAGCTGTCAGTTTGTTAAACGAGGTACTAGGTTTTCCCAATTTGGACATGATGACGTGAAGCTGTCTACACTCGGCCGACATGGCGACGTACTTGTTTCGGCTACGCCCTCTGGTAACATCACGCGCCCTGCGGACCTCTCCGATACTGAGTCTGGGGCTAGCATAAACTCTGACATATGGTCTTTGCGTTGCTTTCATATGCGCCGAGGTAGTATGCTGGCACTTCAACAGAGCGTCCTATTATTACGATTAGAACCAAGAATACATGTGTCAAGCAAATGCATATATCATTCTTCATCTCTTCGTTCAACTTTCCCGATTTTTGTTCATTCATAACAGACGGTGAATCAATAATCACATCATTCATAGGTTAAGCAACATGAATTACTGGTTGGCCGTAAGATAGCGGTCCCAACCACGCTAGCCCTGCTCAGCCCCTTTACAGAGCGTTCACCAACCGGCGCTCCTTCCGCAGGGCACGGAGCTTGGTGCGTGCTTCTTCAAGAGGAATCATAACACCCTGTTTCTGAGTGGCCGGGTCATCACGGTTACGGATGTTGACGGAGCGAGACTCCTTCTCTTGGGCGCCGACAACTGTTGACAATGTTAGAAATAAACCAAATCTGCAATGATCGATGAGAAAACTTACCAAAAATGAAGTTGTACTGAGCCAATTGTCCAGTACGGATCTTCTTCTGCATGGTGTTACCGCTGATGTCAATATCGGCATTCAGCTTGTCTTCACGCAAGAGTTGCTGCAGCTCCTCGACATAGTCGTTCACGGCAGGCATGACGGGGACAATGAGAATCTGGCGAGGGCTGATCCAGAAGGGCCACTTGCCACCATAATGCTCGATCAAGATACCCAGGAATCGTTCGAAGGAACCAATAATGGCACGGTGGATGACAACGGGACGGGCACGGCCGGGACCAGGCTCATTGGACTTAGTCTCGCCCTCCTGCTTCGACTCTTCAGCACCAGCTTGGGCCTTCTCGTGAGACATGTACTCGAGCTTGAAGTTAATCGGTGCTTGGTAGTCCAGCTGGATGGTGGCACACTGGAACTCTCTCTTCAGGGCATCGGCGATGGTGATATCGATCTTCGGTCCATAGAAAGCGCCGTCACCTTCGTCGATGGTCCAGTCGGTGCCCTTAAAGTTCGACATGGCCTTCTTCAACTGCTCCTCGGCGTAGTTCCAGGTCTCGATCTCACCCAGATATTTCTCCGGACGGGTAGAGAGCTTCAGCTTGAAGGTGAAACCGAACAGGCCGTAGATGGATTGCAGGAAATCGAAAAGTCCTTCAATTTCTGAAGTGATCTACATATTGTTAGCATTGATCTCCGCGCATGGGAGTAGAACTTGATTCGTACCTGATCCTGTCTACAGAAAATGTGAGTATCGTCCTGCTGGAACTTACGGACACGAGTAAGACCACTCAAAGCACCCGAAGCCTCATTACGGTGCAAAACACCAAAGTCTGCGATTCTCAGCGGAAGCTCTCTGTAACTGCGCTCCCGGTGTCCGAAGAGCACAAAGTGTCCAGGGCAGTTCATAGGCTTGAGAGCCCACTCCCTCTTCTCAACATCGAGCTTGAACATGTCGTCCTTATAGTGGGCCCAGTGACCGGATGTCTTCCAGACACCGACATCGTACATGTTCGGGGTCTGGACCTCCTGGTAGCCACGCTTACGGTATTCCGATCGCAGGAGAGACTGAAGGGCATTGAAAATCTTGGTCCCGTTGGGCAGAAGGAAGGGGCAACCCGGGGAGACTTCGTCGAAGAAGAACAGCTCCTGTTCCTTGCCGATTCTGACGTGGTTACGTTTCTCTGCCTCCTCAAGGAACTTCATGTGCTCATGAAATCGCTGCTTGTCGGGGAAGGCGACACCACGGATACGTTGCAAGGAGTCATTGGCCTGGTCACCAAGGAAATATGCGGAAGAGTTCTAACCAGGGTGTTAGCGGGGCGCATCCACATAATAACTTCCGGGCCTTCCAATTAATTACCTGCATGATCTTGAAGTTCTTTATCTTGCCGGTGCTCTGAATGTGAGGACCCCTGCACAGGTCAACAAGAGTACCACACCTGTACACGGTACTCTTTTCACCCGTCACCAGCTTGTCGATGTAGTGCAGCTTATATTTGCTGTACGCAAACATCTTCCTAAGATCCTCCTTTGAAACCTCCAGCCGATCGAAACTCTGCTTTTCTTTCATGATCCGGTTCGACTTGGTCTCGAGAGGGGACCAGTCACTCTGGGTGACGACACGGCTATTTTGGACGTCAGTCACTGCAACGCAGACAAAATGGCGTATTATAGGCTGATTTATTGACAACATACCCGTCCGGCATAGCCATATCATAGAAGAAACCCTGGGGTGTAGGCGGTCCATGCGAAAGAAGACACCCGTACTGGCATTCGCAAGCCTCACCCAAGCAGTGTGCGCTAGAATGCCAGAACACCTCTCTACCCTCTGGGTCATCAAACGGAACGTAGGCAACTGTGCAATCGCGTTCCAAAACCCGGCCCAAGTCGTAGAGCTCTCCATCAACCTTTCCGATCACAGCACTGGCGCCCAACTCTTTCGGAAGATCCTTGAGGAGCTTAGCGGGGGTGGTCTCCCAAGCTTTGGCCGTAACGGTAGAGGAGGTTCCATTGCCAAGGTCGACGGTAATGTTGATATCCGGGTGCAGCTTGTTCTTGGTCTCCTCGAGGTGTTTCTGCCACAGTTCTTCGAAGAAGTTGTTTCGCTCGACGATGAAATCGGGGAGGGCATCGGTGTTCGACTGCTTCGCATCCGCCTTAGCGGGCTTGGCCTCCGCGGGCCTCACGGGCAGATCCTTCGAGCCTTCAGCAGTCATCTCTGTAGCCACGGTTTCGGGGAGTACCAATCTGGGAGAGAGAAAATGAAGCGTATAGAGGGGTGACTCAATCGCGGGCGTTGCGATGCAAATCAAATCCACAATGAGGGACGGAAGGCGGTGAGTCACGTGGGATCAAACTGCCCTGGCGGCTAGCGACACTTTACCGTTTCTAGCCTTCCACCCAACGAAAACTTCTCCGACACCCGTTCTATCCAATTCAATCGCATATACCAACTCAATTCATTATGTCTTTTCGCGGAGGGGGCCGTGGTGGCTTCGCCACTGGTGCTAATCGAGGAGGATCTTACGGTGGTCGCGGTGGTGAGCAAAAAATTCATGATTTGAAGTCGCGGGAGTCGAACTCGGGCTAACGAAATTTTCGTCGGACAGGTCGCGGAGGCTTCCAGCCGTCGTTCGGTCCGCCCGCGCAGGTTCTGGGTAATTATTATACTGTTCTTAATTGGTTTGAAATATTACAGAGGCTGATAAATGAGCAGAGATGGGAAGCTTCATGCACGCGTCTGAAGGCGAGCTCGTTTGCGAATCGATCAACCCCAAGATTCCCTACTTCAACGCCCCCATCTACCTCGAGAACAAGGTCCGAAACCACCGAACAAGAATCTAATATAAGCGATCATTAAGGCTAATGCGATTTAATAGACTCCTATTGGAAAGGTCGACGAGATCCTAGGCCCCATCAACCAGGTGTACTTTACCGTCAAGCCTCAGGAGGGCATTGTCGCAACCTCTTTCAAGGCTGGTGACAAGGTTTTCATCGGCGGTGACAAGCTCTTGCCTCTGGAGAAGTACGTTGCATTCTCTCTTCGATTTTTCACAAGTTGTTGTTGCTAATAAGTCTTCTTAGGTTCCTTCCCAAGCCCAAGCCCCCACCGGGTACGGACCCCAACCCTTCAATTCGTTTTACACTTTCAACTAACATAATTCTAGGTGCCGCGAAGCCGAAGAGGGTTACCAAGCCTGGTGCTCGTGGTGGTGGAATGAGGGGTGGACGTGGTGCTCCCCGCGGTGGCAGAGGCGGCGCTCCCCGTGGACGCGGAGGTTTCGGGGGTGGTTTTGGAGGTGGTTTCGGGGGTAGGGGAGGTGCCCCCCGTGGTGGAGGTTTCTCGAGAGGCGGCGGCCGTGGTCGCGGAGCCCCTCGTGGCCGATTCTAGGCAGTCTCTGTCATATCTACTGCTACTGTCTTATTACGGCGTTTGGGGAAATTGGGAGCTCTTGCAGGAAACTTTTTGTCCTTTTGTGCATATTAGGAAAAGTGTTGGTTGCTTCTGTGTCAAAGCTGTAGAACATACTGGCCATTAGTGTACGCAGTGTCAATCTATAATGGTGCTTCTATCTGAAAAAATTAAGGGAAAAAAAAAAAAAAGGCTTGCAACAACTATTTTCCGTAACTGCGGCTAGTGTATGTGGCGCAGTCAGCCATGACCCCCCGGCAATGACGTGGGTATCCGCCAGCCGTAGAATCTGTGCGTCTTGTCAACACTCACTTCACGCCAACAACTTCCCGCCATTTTATCACTGCATCTCCACCGGAGTCCACCTCAATTCCAGGATTCTTTTTCACCTTTTATTTTTGTTGCTCATCTTACCTCTGTGTCTATCTGAGCATGTCTCGCAGAACAACAGCAATGTCGTCGAGCAATTCTTCGAATAGCGGTAACCCGACCTCGGGTGATGGTGGTAGGCATCCGGATTTTCTGCTGGATGGTAACGGCAACTAATGATTTGCAGGCCAGGAAAAGCAGAAGATGCTGCTATCAGCGGAAACAGGACATTTTAGCATGATCAGGTTAGATCTTTTGGGTTCTGCTACTGAGCGCTTAGCTGGGTTTGCTGATCCGGCGTTCAATTGACAGGGCCCTGCATCTCGCTGATTTGGTTACTGAGCTCAATGGTAAATACACTGGATGATATCGCTTATACCTTTTGCCTACATTTGCTAACAATTGTGCTAGGCTTCTGTGGAGGCAAGTCCTATTCGAGTGGATCCCCCTATATTTACGTGCGTCGCTGACCGTTTCGCGAACAGTCATGTCTGTTTTCTCGTCCATGCGATACTGTTTAGGAGAGCCGACTGATTACGGCAACATTTGGGCCGCTCTTGCTTTCATGCCTTTTGGATTGTTTTTTGACTTCATGGATGGAAAGATTGCAAGGTGGAGGAAGAGGTCGTCTTTGATGGGACAGGAGCTTGACTCGTTGGCTGATCTGGTATAATCCTCTTTCTGCGCTGGTCCCCATTTCGTTGGCTAACTTCTTGTTCCTTTCGTCGTCCTAGATCTCCTTTGGCCTTGCACCCGCTGCCGCAGCATTCGCACTCGGAGCTCGCACTCCGGCCGACCACTTGCTCCTGACTTTCTTTGTGCTTTGCGGGTTGACACGCTTGGCTCGGTTCAACGTGACCGTCGCAGTGCTGCCCAAGGACAAGACTGGCAAGTCGAAGTATTTCGAAGGCACACCGATTCCGACGACGCTGTCTATCGCTTCGCTTATGGCATACTGGGTTTCGCAGGGTTGGGTACTCGAGGATCTTCCCTTGGGTGTTGTTGCGCAGGGCACGCCCTTCGAGTTCCATCCTATTGTGTTGCTTTTTGTCGTGCATGGTTGCATGATGGTCAGCAAGACAATACACATTCCCAAGCCATAATTGGTTGGGATGCTTGCCCGGTTCAGATTCTCCCGTTGTCGGCTGGAAGATGTTGAATTATACAGAAGGGAACCTGAACACGAAAGGATACAAAAAGTGGACACGACAAATCTATATTGGAAATAACGCAATTTATGGAATACATTGAATGCATCAACTGCATCGTTGCATCAACTGCATATATACGAAGAGATGATTACATCGGAGCTCATGAACGACCGAGTAGAGACCGCACGTTTGGTAACACAATTCATTTCTAGCCCATGTGGTCCTATGAATAGCAGCGCCGAGATGACTTTCAACTACTGGTTCGGATACTGATTGATTGTATATATAAAAGTACATTCACGTATCAATACATCTATCACTCGTTTGGATTCAAATGTTGTAATTCCAAGAGCAGTCGAAGTCCTCCAGTACCTGGTACTCGGTACGGATAGCGTTTTCCGTGGTTGGTTCTTTTGCTTTTACCCGAGTCATGTTGGACAAAGGAAAAAGAAAAGAAAAGAAAAAATACCTCTGTTCTCCCCATCCACAACGATAGTCTTCAGTAGAGAACAAGTATGGAGTACAGATAATGTGGGACAGAGCACAGAGCTGTGGCGTACGGCGTCTCCTGACCCCAAAACAGAAAAAGGGTGAAAAAAGAAAACTCAACTAAGACCAAGATAACAATACTAATTAACGATTGCCAAATGTTTCTGTTTGATTCTGCATACAAAATCCCCAAATATAGAAGAAGCCGGGGGCTAGTCTCTTCTTTTTTTGGGCGGGTGGAGTGTAGAAGACCGAAGATCGACTGTGCGAGTCAGGGTCCAGACCGGACGGGGACTTCAGTGGAATTCTAGGCTTGCTTTTGGTGGCCTTATTTTGTTCTTTCTTTGTAGTACAAACAAGTGTATTCCGTACTATTGGAGTGATGCAGAGAGTGCGAGTATGAGTATTGTGTTCTGATGGATGTAAAAAGTACGGATGATGCTGAGTCGCTGACGAAAGTACAAAGTACAGTACACGTATACAGAGTTGTAGCCTGAGACATGCATGCAGTTGGGATTAAGCTTAAAGGATTCCGTCAAAGGATTGGATTGATAGATTGCTTGTATGGGGAGCATGCCGGGGTAATGTTGGAATGGAATGTACTTGTCAGGGTCGAGGGTTTGTAATACGATATGATCAATAGAACGTTCACTGTCTGTATAGAGCACTCCGGACTACTCAGATGTTCTGGACATTTTTAATTGAAGAGACAGCATAAATCGTCATCATTGTGCATAAATGCAATCAATGCCTGAGGCTGCATTTGCCATCGGAATCTTTTCCACCTCCTCGGACGGCAAGCGAAATTGCAATTGGCGCTGAACCGTTGTTTGTCGCCAGGAACAAGGCCATTTACGCTTTTGATTTGTTGCAGAGTTTGAAATCTTTGGATATCGTCTACACAACCCGCTGGAAAGAAAGATCTCTTTTTGTCAAGCTTACAACAAGTCTTACAACAGTGCACTTGTACCTGAGCAGACCCATAAATCCACCCTTATTGGCCAAATAATTACACCATCGTACTGATAATACCGAAACCTGTAAAACACCTCGGAAGCTACCGCAGTGAACCCATGGATAGAAAACAAAGCAACCAAAGCAATATATGTATCCAGCGGTAGGAGTATTTATCCATTGGGTTATGATTTCTTTTAGGACGAGGACAAATGGACGTTGGACAAAAAGCAAGGCGCTTTTGGTCGGGGATTGATTGGTTAATACCGGGAGATCCGGATAGCAGGGATCAACTGTGGCCGTTTGAAGTGACACTGATGAGTTGTTTGTTTGCAATTGTTAGTTGTATGCTGACTATATTCCAGAGTATGGCATACTTATACTTGTATTCGAGTTTATCCTTTGGTAATCCCTTAAGGACATAGTTAGCAGAGTGATGCTTAGTTAGTAAATGAGGAAGTTATGTAGCTTACTCATCAGACATTGTGCAGATACTCGTCATCAATCCTTCCCCTCTTTTTTTATTTATCGAGTGCCGCCCTGGCGTGTCACACCAGTGCCCCCATCATTACCTATCCAGGTATAGTTTAGCAGCCCGCGTGCCCCCAAGCAGCAAGGATCGCCTTTACACTTTTCCCCCTGGGCCGTCCATGCATCGATGACTAATCCCGTATCGTAACCGTCCGTACCACAATTCTCTCCCTTCTGGGTCAGGGTCAGTTGTCCCGGTTGGTAAATTACGGTAACCAACCCGGGCGGGCATCCAGGGCGAGAAAGAGATTCCCTTCATTTCCCCTGCTTCCTCGTTCTCTCCCTCCCTCTCTCTCTTTCCCCTTCCAGTCTCTCTTTCTGCTCTTTTTCTCTCTCTTCTCTTTTGCTTTCGCTCTTTTCCCTCCCTTCCTTGGATTTTCCTTTTCTTGTGTTTTCCTTTCCCTGTCGGTCGAAAATCATTCTTCGACTTACTCATACTCGCTCTCACATATACGCACACATTCGCTTTGCCGCGCCAAATAGGGAGTCTCTCCAACCTCCTGTCACCCTCTCTATCGCCAATAGTAGGGTTTCTCTCCTCCCTATTGTTCCCTCTTTATCAACTACTCGTCCTCAGCACGAGGTATCCGTTGTCCATTTTGTTTTTTTTTTTTTTTTCGACTCTGCCTGCACATTTAGGGTGATCGGTCATCCTATTTCTTCGGGATTTAGGGGGAAGCTTTTGAAACAACCGTCCTAAAAGTCTGTCCCCGCCAAAGGGACCCGGACCCTTCCTCCCTTTCATCGCTACCACCTATCATCACCGAATCGTTCCTCTCTCTCCTATCGCTGTTCATCGACTTAATCCCGTTGCCGACGAGTCGACATCCCTAATCGCCCTTACAACGCGGTTCCCCGTTGAGGAATCCACCGTTAGCACGACACAAGGTCCGAAGGGTTACGCGGGTCGTCCCTGGTCCTTTTATTGGCGGCCAATATACAAATCAACATTAACAACTCCCCTACGCGTGGTATCCGGATTAACTCCCAGCCACCGTTGATATCGATTCGATCTGTCCTAACAAACCGATTCGATTGTATATACATCCTGCAAGATGAGGTTCTCCACGATACGCTCCGCTTTCCTCACTTCGACGCTCTTCTTCGCCGCCAGTGTCCCTGTGATGGCAGCGGATTCGTCCTCCAAGGGTTGCTACAGTGATGCGACGCCGTTGAAGGATCAAGGACCTTACACCTTCCAGAGTTCAGGATACTGTAAAACACAGTGCACAAAGAAGAACAAGGCCGTGTATGCGCTATACCAAGGTTCGAACTGTTTATGTGGAGATGAAATCCCGGCATCGTCGAAGAAGGTTTCCGATGATGAGTGCGACGTCTCTTGCAACGGGTATCCTTCTGATAAGTGTATGTGCCCATCATATGAAACGCATAGTACATGTCAACTGACCCTGCTCGATTCTAGGTGGTGGTGATAGCGCCTATGCTGTTTATCTGACCGGCGAAAGTGACGATGTCAAGACCTATGGATCATCCAGTTCCACTGATAGTAGCTCATCGACTTCAACCGATGGTACTGTTGAGACCTCTGGAGGACACACCGTCACGGCGACCGCTGCAAGCGAGACGGGTTCAACTGATGAAACTTCAAAGGACTCGGGCCCCAACACAGCAGCCATCGCGGCAGGTGTGGTGGTAGGTGTTGTCGGATTCTGTGCCTTGGTGGGTGCAGGCTTCTTCCTCTGGCGCTTCCGGAAGCGCAAGGGTATGCAGAACGAATACTCCCGCAATGCGCGCATTGACAACTTTGGCAAGCCCAAGTCCACAAGTTCCATGTCGGACTCGAGGTTCGACGGTGACTTTTTGGCCCAAAGACGCCAGAGCAACGGCAGCATTGATGACGATCAGGACTTTTCGCGTCGGATTCTAAAGGTAAACAGTCGAATCGATTTCACGAGATAAAGGATTAAGACTAACTTTTGACAGGTGACGAATCCCGACCGATCATAAGTCTGACTATTCGTTTTCAACATTATGACGGCTGTCTGCGCCTTTATTTTTTTCTATAAAAAGCACCACGAACCGTACATGTCACTTTCTATTCGAATCCTCACCTTCGCTTGTCCCGATATTTTCTTTCCTTTCATTTTCCTTAATTTGACAACCACTTTATGAGAGCATCATCTACTTCCATCGGATCATTCAGCGCGGCGTTATGATATGTCACTGTACGATACATTCGAGATCAGGCTGTACTCGAAACTATCCCGGATTGCATATTCTCCATGCCTATCATCAAAGCGAACACGGCAGTTGACATGCGTGGCTCTAGGGGCTCAAAGGGCCCTTGCGTCCCACCCGGACATTCGAGGCCACACTAATTAATGACATATCAAAACTGCTTGCTGTATAGATAACGGGAGGGTTCAACAATCTTGCCATTTCTATTTTCTGGGAGGCATGTTAGGGGTCTTGTATTGTGAAATGGCGTTTAATTTTGGTCGAATATTTGTGTATTTTTTTTTTTTTTTTTTTTCCTGTGAACAGAATTATTACCCTTTGTTTATTATCAAGCCGGTTATTGATTCCCTTTTCTTGTGTTGTCACTTCTAGTAAAGCAGATTATTAGCTGCCAGAGGGATTGTATTTAGGTGAATAGGTCTGCAGCAATATGAGAATATCTGGTACTGATCGAATGCATTTGAACGTTATCCAGATAAAATTACTAGAGCCGTCGGCAGAATCAATTTGACTTGTGCTGAGCGAATAGCTAGCGATATATATATATTACCGAATGTCCATGCCACGAGATTCAACGGACATGGACCACTTTCAAGTCATCCTATACCGCGAGAGCGCAGATGCGATGAATATGCATGAAATAGCAGACTTAGCGAGTATGAATGGGGTGGTTTTGTCCGGTGAAGGTTAGGGTCGACCATGATTCACGGACTACGGGGTTTGGTAATAGCATATCTTGGACAAGTGTCGACGAAGTTCAACTTGTGGCAATGGCCCTGAGAGATGAGATGGTATCTAGAGAGGTTAGAGGAGGCTAGAGCTCTGTTTATGTTCCAATGCAATTGCATCTGGACATGCAGACTATATAATTTGAGACCTGAATGCACTCACTGTACGCAGTACATATTAAAGATCGAGGCTCATTTCAGCTCATGAGGTTGACGCCATCCGGGGCTGGATGTGTAGGTACCACACCGCTGATTGCAACACAGACGGAGAGAAAGTGAGGAGGATCTACAGCGTGTAGGGAAGATAAAGATGCGTCAGGTGTACGGGTTACTGTACAAAGACTTGTTGCTTCCATGTGGGAGAAATGCATGCACTTCATTCCGCCATCCAATTTCAGACATCTGATGATGGGCTATTGAGAGATTGATGTGGCTGCAGCATGGTCCCGAAAGAAGTTGGCAACACGAAGAAACGACTCCTTGGGTGCCCAGGGAGGCATGGCCTTTGACCTCTCGTCCCGATCCGGGAATGTCTTGACCAATGAATAACTCGTCATATCTAGGTCCTTTGTCCCCTCACCCGTCGACATGCATGGGAATGAAAAGACATAGGCAAATACTGCGTGGGCGTCCGCATTTGCAAGGAGATCAAGCTGCGTACCCAGATAATCCGCCTGCCCCCGCTCGCTACGGGTCGGAACGACGCCGTCTTCGAAAATGCCGCTGCCGTCTGGATTCGTGCCTTTTAGAAGCATGAAGCCGCCGTCACCACGTTCAGCTGATCCCTCGTAGGCGCAGCATCCGACTTCCATTATGACGAGGGGTTTGTCGAATTTGTGACACTGGAGGCCTGCGACATATTGCTCTTTTGTCTTGCCTCAGCGGCGGTAGTCGATGCCGACGATGTCGAAGATGCTCCAGTCGACGATTTCCCAGGTCCCAGCTGAATATGTCAACGGTCCGGCGAATTTGGTGCAGATCGCTTCAGCGAAAGACTGTAAGATTTCGTTTAGTTTTGTCGACTTCTCACGTACGGTCTCGGGGATATCCTCCAGCGTATAGCCGCCAGGGAGCTGAGCGCCAAACCACGCTCCGCGCTCATTGAACGAGTCATCCGGAAAGACCCCTTTGCTGAAGATCTTGTACTCGCAGCCAGCAACGAAGACTATATCGACACCTTCGTTCCTGAGCTGCTCGGCTGCCTGCGCGGCCTCTTCGAAATAAGCGCGCGTCTCGTCGACGTCTGCATTTATCTTCCATGGGTTAAAGAACACCGTAAGTCCCATTGCATGAGCAGCACGTGCAGCGGTTGCGAGTCGCTGGACTTCCTCACTCTCGACTCGCACAGCGTTGGCGTGCAAATCTTTGGCGATTACGTGCATATCGTGTTCCACGAGGGCGAGATCGAAGGGTTCGACTGAAAGCCCTTGGTCGTTGAACTCAGTCCGACATCGTAGACAACTCCGCGATAATTCATGGTTGATTTATGGTCAAAGTCTAGATTTTGCGCATGTGTTGTAGGAGGAAAACCTGCCGAATTACCCGGGACTTGTAAATCCCGCGATATACATAGATGACCCATATTCAATGCACATGGAAGAGCATAGTCCAAATGCACTGATGGATAATTGGAAGTTATGCAATGCATGATATCATCCCCGGTCTGATTTGGCCCGTAACAATCTGTGCCTGAAACAAACGCATAAACGATGTTGTAAACGACCTTCTATTACTGGCGTTGTATCACACTCTGGTATGGGAGTCAGCAAGAGGGCATGGCCACAATGAGAAGCATATACCTGCATAGGGCCGTATAGAGTGCTCACTAATCTGGGGGCCAAAGGATACTATTTTTGGATGCTCCTTCGAGCTCAGCTGTTGAGCAAAGGATGTTGGAGAATGTCGCGATTGATCGACTCCTGATGCATTTTGCGGATCTACCCCATGATCATACCCCCGGAGAGCCTGTAGCAGAACTGCCACTGTTCGCAGCCTCAGTCAGCCAAGGCGGATTTTCCAGTTACCGGTTTGCTGGAGGCGCAGCAGTAGCTACTATCCATGGTTAAGGTTGTGGGTGCTCGTTTCAAAGATGGAGTTTCAGATATGCAGATTCTGACTTCATCTCATGTCAGATCTGTCAAGAATGCTTGGTATGACAAGATGTATATGTCCGTGTCTTGTATGTAGCTGTAGTGGGCGACCGGCCCCGTTCCTGCGGCAGTTGCTCTCCGGAATTCGGGGATTTATTCCTTCCGAGATTGTTCGGTGTTCCCTAGAACTTCTCGGAGAATCGTATTTTACTCCGTAAACATACCTTAAGTACCGTATGCATTTCCTCTGTTGGGTTGGATTGATGTCCCAACCAGGATTGTCGCTACCGCACGCAGAGTATTCTGGAGAACCCGGACATCTGTCAGGCTGACAGCCCAAACTATAGTGGACCCATGTGACCCACCTATACACTTCCTGTTCGAGCCTCACACGTGATAGAACCATAGCATACCAGAACTCTAGAAATGCATATGACAGGGTAGTTCGTCCTGCATGATGTAGTATCTATTTTTATATCGAGTTTATTTTGCCATCTTGTTCCTGGATATAAATCTGACAGGAAGTAAAATCATGAAACGGCATTTTGGGGCCATTTAGAGTGGCAGAGCTTGAATCCATTCGGGCTTGGTTCGGCACTCCACAGGGCTGACTTGGGTTTTTATGTGTTTACTTTTTGCTATGTGTCCGGTGAAGTGTTGCTGCATACGGTGGATATGGAATCCACTATGCAGTTCAACGAACATGTACCACAGAATATCAGATGAAACTTGTACCATAGAACGAAGAGAAGACAATGCTATGTATATACAATTGATATACCTGCACTCCGTAACCTTGTATAATAATAATATGTTTCTTTAGTCACTGCATAGTACCAAGTACAATCCCAGTTCGTATTCAACGCAGGGTCTCCATACTAGCCCTGATCTGGATTAGCGCAGGGCGGAGTGGACCGCCTAACCAAGATAGGGTTTGGGCTGGCTGCGGCAATGCCAGAGCATCCTGATTACCCCGTTGGGTAAATTGTGATCGTTACCAACAATTAGACACTGTTCGGTATCTCTTTGTTGTCTCTGTGAGGTGTCCGATTTAATGTCTCCTTAATTTCTACGCCCAAATGTACTGTATAGATAATATCCGAGATACTACTCCGTGGTAGGTACAGAGTACTTCTACCCAATCTACAAGTAAACTTCCGAGTGGATTCGCGTGGGCCGTCAAGGCTTATTCAATGCATTTGATCGGATCCAATAGCTTCGCCTCTGTACCAAGATTTTCTAATGTTTACACTGACTGCTTGAATGTTAAATCCTTTGCACAGCGTCAAAAATAGATAATATCAGTCTACCTGGCCAATCAGCCCCGTGCAAGAACCAACACGAATTAAGCAGTGTTGTTACAAGCCGTAAATACGCGATACTAGCGCGTCTCTTCCGGGTTCCTGATTGGGTCAATTAAAATGTAAATTCACCACGGTCCACTCAATGAGGCTCAATTGTGGGGGTCCCCTCCATAGTCCAACAATCTGCGCATTATTTTCTTCTTATTTACTTGATTATCTTCCCTCTGTTCACTTCTTTTTGACATACAAGCATAGCCCCCGTTGAGTGGAGGATCATCCTGCAAACCCGATCCTTAGGGTTTACCGACATTCTCCCTACATCCGTGCGTTCTCACTTGTTGACATCAGGATCAGGAACCGGGACTGCCTCGCATGGCAGACTGTCTTGCTCTAGTTCTCCATTTTTTATATATTTTTTTTTTTGATCTCACACACCTTATTCAGTTTACTGCCACTCTTGCAGCCGTTTCACGTATCGTGTTTTGCCTTGCTGCAGATGCGAGGCACACTCAACGTCTGATTCTATTCCTCCACCTTCATCCACAGCCGTCGACTTCCGGAAAAGGAAATCGGTTGTGGGCGAATTCCTTCAGGGGCCAGAAGTATATCATCCTCCTTCTCGCCCGTTCATCTGCCTGTATTTTCAGCAGATTAACAAGACAACATCACAACTATCTACGTCCTCTTCGATACAATTCAAACTCAATCACCACAACTTCTATCACCATGCGTCGGACCAGTGCTACCTTGGAAGTTCCCCTTCCTATCACCTACACTCCCACCACCCACCGCATCAGCAAAGCAAAGAAGGGAAAGCGTGTGCATGCTTGCCAGTACCCTGGCTGTGACAAGGTGTTTACCAGAGCCGAACATCGGAGGTATGCTTCTTTTACCACGGTCCAGCTGTCGATGACATACTAAACGTCTACCAGACGCCATGAGCTGAACCACAACCCCGAGGCCCTTTTCCGGTGTACGTACCCTGAGTGCCAGAGAGAATTCCACCGCCAGGACTTGCTTAACCGTCACATTGAACGACAGTATGTTCTGTCTCTTTCGCGCCCTCGGTGGTAGAATGGTACTAACGGCCCTTTAGTGAGCTCGACGCACAGATGGAAAATGCAGCACGTTGGAAGCAAACCCAGCTTCCCGTCGCACCCCAACCTTATCCTCCGAAGAACCTCATGCCTACACCCTTCGACTCCAACATGTTCTTGCCTACACCACAACAGTCGACCTCCACTTCTATGTCCATCGATTCCCTCGTCACCCCCGAAATCCGCCTAGACCTTACTAACGACCAGTCCTTCAACTGGGATGGTCTCGACTTCCCTTTGTACCCTCAGCAGCCTTCTCTGCTCCAGAGCCCCATGCCAGAGGCGATCGACGACAACTCCTCTTTCTATTCGTACCCCGAGTCTTGCGCTTCTCCCTCCTCATCTGGGGGTGCTACATTCCTTTCTTCTCGCCCGAGCTCCTCGCTCTCCTCGACACCGGCTACAATGATGGACTCATACCCGGAAACTTACCCAGAACCCATTCTCGACTGCGGGTTGACTTCCTCGCCATTGCAGCTGCAGGCGGACTTGCCGCCCTTGGATTTCTCGGGTGTCGATATGTCGTGGTCGGATATTGAGCCTCTTTCGCTCGATGGGGATCTTGCGTCTCATGTAAGACACTCATTCCAACAATTTTAATATGAAGGACACGAAGCTGACTTGCTCGAATTAGCCCCTACAATACAATGCCGCCCCTACATGGGCCCTGTCCCAAGAGAAATGCGATCCGCAGCAATACGCCGCGAAGTCATTCTTCTTCTAGGTGTCTCAGTGACACTAGTATATATATTTCCTTTGTTTGTTTCTTTTGTTCATTTCTTTGTCTGATATAAAACGACGAGATGACCCTGGAGAGTCTCTCCATTGATGCTGGCATGGTTATGGTTATGGAGTTTTGGTTTTCTTTCCTTTGTATTTACATATACCCATTTTGAATTTGATGTTATTGAACTATGATCGAGTTGTTCTATGTTTGTAGTCTCAATACTGGGTTCTCTACTATGATCTCGCTGATTTCCATCCGCGCCTCTAGCAGCACGGAAGGCTATACTAAACCACAGACGCAATGAGCCTCGAAACACCAGAAAATGGTGTGTATGAGTAGATAGTGGTCCTGGAGTCTCTGACCCAAACCCTAAACTTCAATGTTGAAGCCTAAGTAATCCGGCGGCCTGATGAGATCAGGATGATCCCTCAACATGGTGTCGATAGATTCTTCCGTCTACGACTCCTGAACTCGAGCATATTCATCTCAGACGAATTTCAGCACAATGAGCAAGCCTTCACTCCTCAGGGGTACATGGCAGGAATGGCGTTACTTAGAGAAAAATCCACAGTTCCAGGAACTAGTCGAGGTATGCCTTTCAGAGCATCAGGCATTCGCAAACAAGGCAAAAATCATCCTTGTCATGCCACCAAATATGACCCAAGATATACTTGGTTTGACATCCCTCGAGACCAAGCTGGAAGAAACCGGCAACTCACAACTCGCCCAAGTTGTACGCTGGCTTATATTCTGGGAACAAGAGGATGACTGGAAAGCGCAGATCGAAGAATTGGCTCAGTGTTTCGTTGTGGCGGATATCAAAGCACGCTGGACTGTTCACAGAGAGATATATGTCCAGGAGGAAACCCAAAGTTTATGCACGGCACGTCACTGCTGATGGATGAAAAAGAGTATGTGCTGGACACAGAGAAGCCCCAGCTGAACAAATACAAAGAAGAACTTCAGCGTCTCGATGACCAGTACTGGGACAATTGCCGACTTCGCTGGACGTTGGAGGGGAAATACACCCCCGGGATGTGTTAAACGAGCCTTGAAAGCATACAGAAGTGATCCGAAGTGGACGATCAGGCAGAGTACAAAGATGTTGAGAAATTTCCGTTTGACATTGTCACCGACAACGACGACGAGGAAGCGTATTCTGCGCGGATTTTCCGTGCTTACATTTGGGAACTGAGTTTTGTTGATGAATTGAATTTGATTGGAACCTTCCACTAATATACAGCTTATTCATAGGTATTCGACGCACATGTTGGGTGGTTTGCTCGAGAAAAGAATAAGAGAAGATACAAATCAATGCTACCTCTCCGCTTTCAGTAAATCATAGAGTATACTCGGAGACGATGTTTACTGTGTACGGCCAATATGTACTAACTAGATCTCCGCTCCGAAGACGGAAGTGACCGCTCCCCGCTTCTTCCATTTCATATCTCTTCTTCGTGCATCACGACCATGATCTGCAGCTCTTGCTTATAGTGATTCAATTCCTTGATTTGCCTTGTTCTAGTTTTGCCTGCTTGTTCATGGCAAGAAAATGGTAGTATTTGTCGATTTGGACGATGATGCTTTCAGCAACCAGCATCATCTTCCCGGAGGCCCCGAAGATGTCTTGCTCCAGAGCTATCTCACCAGGCCTGAAAAGGCATCATTAATACCACCTTCGAAGCGGATGAGCAGCTCTACTACAGATGAAAGCTCCGTCGATTCATCCGATGACCATCTTTCAACGGACCGGTGTTCCAACCAAACTACCTTTTCAGCTGCCTTGAGCTGCTATCCGTATGGATCACTACTACTGATAGCTTGTCTTCGTACTTCAGGTGTGAGCGCTAACTTTGGATAATCGATTACCAGGATTGTCGAAGAGTTGGCTCGATGCGTGGATCTGAATACGCTGCATGCCCTCTCGCAGACCTGTCGCCAATTCCATACGAACCTAACGCCGTACCGACAACAACTCACCAAGCGGACCCTGCGTTGCGAGAATGAGTACATTGAGACCTTATCAGATATGCTAAATAGCGGTGCTGCTATTCCGGACAGCGTCAAATCTGTTATCCAGCTTCTTAGCCAGGGTACCGGACAATCTGGGAGAATGACTCGAGGGAAGATTAGCAAATGTGCAAGAGATATGGTTGGCGAGTGTCGGAGGTGCTCTAAGGTTATCTGCAGGGTTAGATGCCCTGAACCTTTATTTGGCTGCTGCGGTATACTGACAGTGTCACCTTAGAATTGCACGATTAAAACCCCGACAAACGCCATGCTCAAGAACCGTATTCGTCGACTATGCACCACTTGTCGCACTGTTCCAATTTCCGAGCACATAGCATGCTCTTCCGTATCACCAAACATTCATTCGCAAGAAACAGTTTCGCCATTTGACCCCTCAAGCTTCACCGCACCGGCATTCATGCGCACACCATGCGTATGTGAGGACGCCGTCTGGCTATGCTACCAATGTGGACATACCATCCGCAGAGAAGATACCACCTATCGCCGGGTATGGGCCTGGCGTACCCGGTACAGTACTCATCTGGGCGGGTTAGGAACGGGAATTGGTGAAGGTTGTCAGGGTGTCAAGTGCGGTCGAGGGGAGAGCTGCCTGGCGGCCCAGGAAATTGAACTTGAGGTGGTCAGCGAGGCAGATGATGACCCGGATGGGCTACATAACCACGGGCTTCTACAGCATGCCGGTGATAATACCATATCGACACCAGACGACGAAGAGCGGGGTTACTTCCGCCAGGAGATTGTTGGAATCGGAGGGAGGTTCAAGCAGAAGGTCAAGAAAAGGGTTGTGGTGGGAGCTTGTGTTCCTGAGTATGAGGATGAGCGTGATACTGGACGATATCTGATTCGAGAAGAGGAGGGTAAGCACCGGGGTTGGTGTGGGTGGTGTTGGAGAGTGATTCCAGCTAAGAATGAGACTATATAGATAACTATAACGCATGATAGATTGATAGACTGTATATATAATCCAATCACTTTCATTTACTACGTTTACATATTACTGGCGACTTTGAAGCGCTCATCTTTTGATTCGAACCGGGTCCTCAGCGCAACACAGAACAAATGATTCCATTGAAGACGGAATACGTCTAGTCTACACAGACCAGCCCTTTACTCTGCCATGGAACCATCTGACACTGAATACATTCAGATACAGCGAGACCTTCGCTAAGGAAGACATACACCGGCGTTCTGTATTGTCGTCGTTTGTTGAGCAAGTTGTGTCTGGTCATAGATAGTGTATATGGTAGCCAGAAAAGACTACTATCTCTAATAAAAGAAGTCTTTTGTATTCTTTCAGGTCCCTTATTTTGTGTGTTGACTGATTGTTGATTCGCCCCGCTCCACCCGGGCAATCACTGCGGGGCTGGACACCAACTGAGTGTCAACGCTGTCAAATCACTCTTTGCTTGTCTCACTCCCACCTCCTTTTCATTCTTTCCCTCCCCCTCCTACTACTATAATCCAGCTCTGCCCGAGTACCATTTCTCCCTGCGAGAACCCATTCCTGCGCTCACTGCCGATTAAAGCCCTCGCCCCCGTCTTTGAACCCGAGCGCACTCTCAGTCCAAACCGGCGCCATGGCTGATTTACAAGGTCGCAAGATCTACAAGGTCTTCAATCAGGACTTTATTGTCGGCGACAGATACCATGTGACCAAGGAGCTGGGTCAGGGCGCATACGGTATTGTCTGGTAGGTGTCCTGTGGAAGCCGGTACTTCTGTCTGGCTGTTTCGCGCGCTTGCATTCAATTATTAAAAGAACAATGCTGATGAGACCCTCGCTCCTAGTGCCGCAAACGATAATGTCACGGGTGATGGCGTCGCCATCAAGAAAGTTACCAACGTGTTCAGCAAGAAGATCTTGGCCAAGCGCGCCCTGAGAGAAATTAAGCTGTTGCAGCACTTCCGCGGCCACCGTAACGTACGTTTCCGATATTATACCAATGTCTTTGGATACTCCGGCAAGGTGCAATGCTGACAGCGACAGATTACTTGTCTGTATGATATGGACATTCCTCGCCCGGATAACTTCAATGAAACATATCTGTACGAAGGTGGGGTTGCCCCTCCCCTTTAACTATCCGTCACAACGCTGACCCTCCCCCCTCTAGAATTGATGGAGTGTGATTTGGCCGCTATCATTCGTTCCGGACAGCCCTTGACCGATGCGCATTTTCAATCTTTCGTCTACCAAATCCTCTGCGGTCTGAAGTACATCCATTCGGCGAACGTCCTGCACCGTGACTTGAAGCCCGGTAACTTGCTGGTCAATGCGGATTGTGAACTTAAGATTTGTGACTTTGGTCTCGCGCGTGGTTTCTCGATCGATCCCGAGGAGAATGCTGGTTACATGACTGAATATGTCGCGACAAGATGGTACCGTGCTCCGGAGATTATGTTGAGCTTCCAGAGCTACACCAAAGCCAGTAGGTTTCATTGCCCGATCTCACTGTTTCAACAGTGATACTAACCCCAACAGTTGACGTGTGGTCCGTCGGCTGTATCCTCGCCGAACTCCTCGGCGGCCGCCCCTTCTTCAAGGGCCGCGACTACGTCGACCAACTCAACCAAATCTTGCACTACCTGGGCACCCCCAACGAAGAAACCCTGGGCCGCATCGGCTCCCCCCGCGCCCAGGAATACGTCCGAAACCTCCCCTTCATGCCCAAGATCCCCTTCGACCGCCTCTTCCCCAACGCCAACCCCGACGCCCTCGACCTCCTCGACCGCATGCTCGCCTTCGACCCCACCTCGCGTATCTCCGTCGAGCAGGCCCTCGAGCACCCCTACCTGCACATCTGGCACGATGCCTCCGACGAACCCGCCTGCCCCACGACCTTCGACTTTCACTTCGAAGTCGTCGAGGACGTCGCTCAGATGCGCAAGATGATCTACGAGGAAGTCGTCAACTTCCGCGCTGCCGTGAGGCAACAATCTCAGGCTCACGCTGCCGCCGTCGCCGCGCAGCAGCAACAACTCGGCAACGTCCCGATCCCCGAGGGCCAGCATGGCGGCTGGAAGCACGAGGAGCCTAAGCCGCAGGAGGCTGCTGGGGGTGGGGGTGCTAGTGATCTCGAGGCGTCGCTAGCGCGGGGAATGGATGCCCATCATCGTTGATTTGTTTTTGGAGCTTGTTGGAATATTATTCTGGGGTCGCGGGGCGAGTTCCAGGATGTTCATCTCATATGAATTCGATTGTTTTCTACTTTTCATTTCTTCAATATGCCGCATTTTTGCCATCTATGAATAGAAAACGTTTTTTGTAGTCTTTTTCTATATCGCTGTCTGTGTATGCAAGCGCTGTTGCTTCTAGGGCATGGTACATATACATCTGCATGAAAAGTACTTGCCTCACTGTCCTTGGTGAACTATTTGTTGATAGAGAGTATAGAAAACATCTTATTACCAGGTCTATGTGGTATCTCAATAATCTGCCGGTAAAGGATAAACAAAGTGACTAGGCTGTATATTCCAGAAATGCAAATAAATACAAAAGACAGACATCGCTCGTAAATCATAAGATCGTACAACTCCAGCTTCAAAACAAGACAAATGAAGAAACAAAATCTCGAAGCTCGTATGCAGCGCAAAAGACCAAACCAAGAGAAATAGAAAACCAATAACCAACACCCCCGGTATATAATCAATAATAATACCCCCTCCACCAAACCCCCATACAAGCCGCAACTACCAAATCCAACATCTTAATCCCTTCATCCTCAACCACCAATTTCCCCAACTTAGCACTCTTCCCCCGCATCCCTCCACCAGCACGCTCACGAGCAAGCGAGAAATCTAAACGATCGGGATCATCGCTGCTTTTGCTGGCTGTGCTGGCGGTGGAGGGTTTGCGGGTTAGGCCTACGTTTCCTAGGGCGTTGTTGGTGGTGTGGGCACGGGGACGGTTGGGGTTGAGGATTTGGGCGAGGGAGGCGCGTTTGGAGGTTGGGTTTGTGGTTGTTGGTTGGAGTGGTGGGGGTTGTTGTTCTGGGGGGTTGTTGCCGGGGACGGTGGATAAGGGTTGGTCGTTGGGGTCGGCATGGGGATTGGCAAAGGTTGATGTTTGGCTGAGCTGCCAAGGGGAGAGATGGGTAGGATTAGGTTGGTGATGGAGATGACCGGGTTGGAAGGGTGTGTTGAAGCGGATTTCGGCGACTGTCATGGCTGGACTAGTGCCCACTGTCTGCGCGGAAGTCGAGGAGAAACCGGCAGGAGCCTGGAGAGGAATCATGTGTTTGCATTTCAGACTGCGGCCATTCACGCTCGTTGAGAATGTGCAGACACCATTCCAGGGCGAGTTGAAGGTGTAGTAGCCGCTCTTGAGCTTGGATAGACTTCCGTTTTGCGGCTTTGGTGGCGGACTGCCGGGACCGGTGCTGTCAATGGAGCCACGTGGTGCGGATTGTTGGTCGATTGAGCCTCGTCCTTCGTCTTGTAATGGTCTTGAGACGCATAACTTGCGACGGAACCTCTTTGGGCCGGCTGGTTCTTGTGAGCTGTTATCGTTGGGGGTGTCATTATGCGGAACAGGTCCATGCGATTCAGCTTGTTGCTGAAGGGCTTGGAGTGCGGAAAACGATGGACCATTCATCTTGTCTGTATTCAACCCCAGACTTGCAAGAGATATCGGCTCATCCTGCGCAAGGAAACGGTTGTATCCAGGCGTCGATATCTCTAGATCCATCACACCTTCATCCAATCGCTGAGTCGAGATCGTCGCTACATTCCACTGCGTTCCATGCGTAGGATCTCGTCGAATGAGTGTAATATGAAAACCAGAACTGGGATCCGGAGACCTGCTGTCGTGCGATCTCCGACTAGGCGAAAGCCCTGGACTTCTCCGCGGTGATTCACGCGATGAAGGTGGCCGTAGCTCCGTCCGTCTGGAGTCCAAGCTGTGTCGATTGTTCGATAACGCTTCCTTCCAGTTCTCAAGCCCTGGTCTGTTCACATATCCTGCCATTGCACTCCACCGGTTATTCCTCTTGGCCGGGTGACCGTTCTCCGTGGTCTCCAAGGGCTCTTCATTCGGAATAGTAGGAAGTGGTCGCTGTGGTATAGGACTCCGTATCGTAGGTTTCCGCTTTATAGTCGGTTTCCGTTCCAGAAACTGTACTCGGTGGCCTGCTTCTTTTGGAGGTTCGGTGTCTGGCACGCTCTCCGCGAAGGGAGTGGGAGGCGACACTTGAAGCTGATGCTCAGGGACGGCTGGGGGAATATTCTCCTGTGAGGGCAAAGATGGTGGAGAAGAGGTAGTATTCGAATTCGCATCCGCGTTACTAGTACCAGCAGTAGGAGCACCACCAGGAACCGGCTTCCGTCGTACATTATTCAATCGCGCAAACTCCTGCTGCATTGGACCGGACTCTGCTTCATCACCAAACATCTCCCTGCGCAAAATGGCCTCTTCTTCCCGTTCCTCTTCCACCTCATGTAGCAAGGCCTCATCCTCCGGGGTCGCGACATGCAGGTAATAAAGGGAGGCATTGATAGCCTCTGCGGAAACGCTATCTTTGGTGGGTGGCTTGAGAGGGGAAAGGAACACGTCTATGCATCAAGAAAAAGCAAACATTAGCCATCTGTGTATCTTATCCTCAAGATCAAAGAGAAAAACAAAAGTATCCCATGAACATGCGGGGCAAACATGTGCTTTGCATTTGCGACAATGACCTACCTTTACTTCCCGGAACCCTCACGATATACAACTCCAACGGATCTAGCTTCTTCTGCGTGGGATTCCGTGGGTATGATGGAGGATTCGACGCGATGCCCGTAATCGACGACAGCGAACGAGCTTCGACGGGTCCCTGAGCCATGCCATGGTTCGGCGGCGCGGAGGACGAAATGGAACCCCCGTCCACCGCCATTTATTCCAGAAAGAGTGTGAAAGAACGTCGGAAGATGGACGGAAGCGTGCAGGGGATGGTCTGTGCCGGACTTTGTCGTAGCTCCTGGGGAAATGGAGAAAGGATTCGTCTGCAGAAGGAGTAAGAGTTGGGTTTTCTGCAGTTGTCCGGAGACCTGCGGAGAGATGCCAAGAAAGAGTGAGCGATGCTGATGATCAGAAGACGACGATGTACAAGGCTGAGGCTGAGAAGAAGAAGAATAAAAACAGTGTAAGATACAGTCAGAGGAAAAGAAGTGAATCGAAATAGAAAAAAAGCTGCCTATGACAACCCGACGAGAGGCGACAAATTGGCACAGCCTCAGGCACCGGGGGGGCCAACAAAACAAGCGTCAACAAAAACAGTATCCGTCTTGATTGGTATCTCTTCCCAACGAATATAGCTACATGGTATGCTTAGTGCGCTGAATGCGCAATCCCAAGTATCAAACATACATCAAAAGGAAACAAACAAAAAGAAAATAACAAATGGGAAATTGAAATCAAGTGAAAGCCGGCGGATAATGCCCCCGTATGATATTAAACCCAACCATGTCCATACAAACAAATGTTCATAACTCCATGCTCCCAATGACATTCCCAACCTATACGCAATAATAATGACTGTGCTGTCCCAAGAAGAAAACCCATTTGATTGTTGTTTGCCAAGTGTATCAAACCACCGTCTCTGCTCTCTCACCCTCCGCGATAACTGGAACGCCGAGTCCACGGTCAGGACTCTGTAATACAAGCTGCTCGTGGCGTCGGGCCCGCAAGAAGTCACTGATGGCGCGGATCAAAATAAACCAACCGACGATCATCAAGACGTAGGAGATCCACTCGCTAGTGCTAATAGCAGACATAGCACCGCTGCCATCGCCACCAGAACCGTCTGTTACTGCATCGGGGTCGAAGTTGTGGCTGTTCGGGTCTGGAGGGTTGACATATTGGTCCGCATCACCGCCATCTTCCGGTTTCGTATCGCTTCCGCCTTTCATGTAGAATCCATACTGCACGAGGGTAAGGCCGAGACCAGCTCTGCTTCCGTTCTTCGCTGCATGTGTCGTGTGTAAGAGATAGGTGAGGAGGAATCCGACCAGTTGGAAAGACATGGAAATCATGGCGTTCCAGACAAAGGAGAAGATCGACCCAACCGGCAGTCCATCCACGAACACCTCATCGGACGAGATGCCTGGCGCCAAGATAGTAGTTTCCCAGTACGGCGGAGTCGCATCGGCGGCTGCTTCTTCGTAGGACTATCATGGATCAGCAACTCCCCAAGGGAATACCAAAAAAAAAAAAAAAAAAAGGAGAACAAAAAGACATACCGGAGGCAAATCCTCATTCTTCTCACCCCTCTCAGGCTTAGCCGCCAAATTCGCAAACACACCATCATTCGATCCGATCACACGACCCGGCGCAGAAGATGAAGGCGTAAACGATGGAAGGATAGTCAGCCTTCTAAAGATCCCCCGACTCTGCTGCTGTGTCTGATCCTGTTGCTGCTGTCCTTGCCCTCCCCCTTGGCTTGACGAAGACGCGGCGGCACTACCGTTCCCGTCCCCGTTATCATCGTTGTTGTAGTCGCTACCACCGGCAATAGATCGCGGCTCGGGGTTCGCCCGCATTAAGCGCTGCCTATCGTCAGGCTCATTTTCAGCCTCCGAGTCGCTCCCATCGTCGAACGCGTCGGCAAGAGTCTGATCCGCATCGTCGGCCCGGCGAGACTCATCGTTTAAAAGGCGTCTAGAGGAAGGCGAGGAGGAGCGAGAGTGGAACGAGGGAGGTGGAGAGGACGGAGTGAGGTGCGAGTTCGACCGGGACGGATTCGACGGGTAAGGATTTGGGTCATCTTCGTCGTGGGCGTTTACCTGAACCCAGCTCTTTGTCAGTCGCTGATTCGAATGAACCGCATCCGAGAGAGAATAGGACTGGGGAGTATGGTGATTGTCGCGATGTGATTCATCCAGATCAGCGGCGGAGACTTACCCGTTGATAACGCTGCGAGCTCATGATGAGCGAGCGAGGCAGAGAAGGAAAGAAAAGGAGAGAGCGTGGGAGTGTAGATCAAGCTAGTACACAAAGGAGACGTAGAAGGCTCTAAGCGAGGTTCAGGAGATGGATAGAAAACGAGGGAATGAGCAACTGGCGGCGAGGACGATGATGGATGGCTCAGGATGGCGATGCAGAAGGGAGATGGGGAGACTGTAATGCCTTAATGCCTTGTAGCCTTATCAGTTAATGCCTAAGGCATAGTTACTTCATCGCCGCATAACTATCCAATCCTCTTGTCACAATTATCATCCAACTTAATTCAGTCAACACTCCTTTCTCACACTGCTCAATTGCTTAATCAATTAACATAACAGCCATAACCATGTCAAAGCCACCAGTAAGTTAAGACCATGACCGCTACAAAAACCACACTAACAACAACCAGGTCCGTCCACAAACCCTCCAAACCCGCATCTCCCATCTCCTCTCCCACTGGCCCTCCGACCCCGTCCGTCCAGCCTCAGTCTCAGTCCAGACCTACTTGCAAGCCCGTCTCTCACAAGCCTCTCCCCAAGATGCAGCAGTACCGCAGCAGCAACAACAACAACACCTACCCCAGAACCAACAACCGCAAGAAATGTCCGAAGCATCCTTGAACGCATTGTCGTCGTTGCTGGAGGATAGATATACGAGGCGGTATCCGTTGTCGCCGAAGTTGCGCAGACCGGCGAGTAGCCCGGATCATTATGATAATGTGGTTAGGGAGTTTGAGGAGGCGCCGGAGAGGGATTGGTTTGGGAGGTTGGGGAAGAGGTTGAAGGGATTGCTTAGGTTTTCTTAGGTGGTTTATGGTTTGTTTGGTTCTTTACGGGTTATGGTATTTACAAAGTTGTTCATGATGTATAATACTCTCTTTACTGGATGTATGATTGGGAATGGGAAAAGCACCGCTCTACCGAGGACTGTGTATGGCACGCTCTTGCTTTGGCAATGAATTGCATTGCCAGGTATATACATCTCTGCTGACAAAATACATAATAACTCATAAACAATCAAGGATATACATCCGAATGTAATCAATCAACCAACAAATCATACACGCTCAATAATCCTTTTAAAACATGCAAACAACCATGGATATCATCTCGTCAGAGAAAAAGAAACATCTTACAGCATAGGCTTCAAGTCATCAGCAACCTTGAACGGCGCCTCCGTCTTGGACTTGACCTCGTCAACGGTAACACCGTCAGCAAGCTCGATCAGAGTCAGACCGTTGGTGAAGTCGACGTCGAAAACGCAAAGCTCGGTGATGATACGGCTGACACAGGTCTTGCCGGTCAAGGGGAACTCGCAGTTCTTGACGATCTTGGGGTTGCCCTTCTTGTCGGTGTGCTCCATGGTCACGACGACCTTGGTGGCGGAGGGGTTGGAGACTAGGTCCATGGCACCGCCGAAGCCCTTTATCTTGCCGGGGAGCATCCCTGATATAGTTAGCTTCGCTATCCTGGAGTTGGATGGGAAAATGGGATCTTACAGTTTGCAAGGTCACCGTTGGCGCTGACTTGCATAGCACCCAGGATGGTCAGGTTGACACGGCCAGACCGGATCATACCGAAAGACTCGTCACTGCCGAAGACGGCCGCACCAGGCAGAAGAGTAACCGTCTCCTTACCAGCGTTGATGAGATCGGGGTCCTCCTGGCCCTTCTTAGGGTAAGGGCCCAAACCCAGAATACCGTTCTCCGACTGAAGCATGACCTCGACGGAGGGGTCGACGAAGTTAGGAGCCAGCATGGGCATACCAATACCCAAGTTGGCGTACATGCCGTTCTTGAACTCCTTGGCAGCACGACGGACAATACGCTCACGCTTGTTGGCAGTGTCGCCCTTGCCCAAGGCCGCAGCACCCTGCTCTTCACCCTCCTCCTTGGCGAAAGTGTACTTCTCAATTTTCTTGTCCGTAGTGCTCTGGATCACACGCTTGACGTAGATACCAGGCAAGTGCACAGCCGCAGGGTCAATATCACCGACCTCAACAATGTTCTCAGCCTCGACAATAGTCATCTTAGCGTTACGGCCCATAGCACCGTTGAAGTTGGCCGCCGCATAGCGGAACTGGCAGTTACCCAACTTGTCGGCCTTCCACGCCTTCACAAACGCATAGTCACCCTTGATAGCCTCCTCCATGACATAGCTCTTATTGTCAAACACCTTAACATCCCGCGCCTTGCTGTACAGCGCCACAGTTCCATCGGAGTTGTGCTTCAACGGCAAGTCACCCGTCTGCACGACAGTCCCAAACGCAGCAGGCGTGTAGAAAGCAGGAATACCAGCACCACCCGAGCGGCACCGCTCAGCCAACGTTCCCTGAGGTGTTAACTCCATCTCAATCTCACCAGTCAGATACATCCGCTCGAAAGTCTTGTTCTCACCAACGTAACTGGCAATCATCTTCCTGATCTGCTTGGACTGCAGGAGCAGGCCCAGACCCGAGCCGTCGACACCAGCGTTGTTGCTGACTGCTGTCAGGCCTGTGATCGAGGGGTTTGCGCGGACGGCGTTGATGAGGGAATCGGGGACACCGGAGAGACCGAAACCGCCTGCCAGGAGGGTGGAGTTGGATTTCATGTCTTTGATGGCCAGGTCGGCGGATCCGACGACTTTGTTGATTTCATAGCGGCGGGCGCTGCTAGAGAATGTGCGGGCGAGGAATTTTTGGTGCTATTCTGAAGTTAGCGATTGTGAGTAAACGAAGGCATGTGTTGTTTTCTTACCTTGCTGGGATCAGTCGAAAACTGCCTGGCGATGCGCAGGCAGGTCGCAAGTTGTGAAGACATGATGATCGTTTATGTATGAGTCCGTCGGGGGTATCACACTATACAAGGACTATTGACAGACAGACAAACAAACACAGTGATAGACAGAGAAGATGATATGAGGAGAAGCGGGCTTTATATACACCCGCCGCAACACAGCGGAAAGTGGCCGGACCCGGTTCTCCGCATACCCCGGAAAACCCCCGCATTGTATTGAGAGAACAACTGATTGAATTATCCAGCGGCCATTGAAGAGGATGCTACATAGTTATATGCTTAAAAACATCCCTCTTTTTCTTCTATCACTTTTTTTTTTTCTTTCCATATATTCTCTGAATCTCGTACTGTCCATCCTAACCACCACAAGGCGGGTTTACGAATCTATCTCGGCCTGCATTCCGCGCTTGGTTGCCGACCGCACGTGCCGGTTCCGATTCGGAGTGCATATCGGAGTTATCGTCGCCATCTACCACTATCGGTACCATGGAACATTCATGTAAACGGTCATAACATGATGGTATCTTCCGTTATGTACAGGCAAAACAAGTCGTAACACCTCTAGCATGCAAAGGAAACATATCATGTCATACACACATATCATCATCCTCTGGCGGGCATTATACAGTTCAAAAAAGCAAGGTCCCCCATATTCATAGAACACATCCTTCAATCAAGTAAACAGCAAAACTTGAGGAAAATAAAAGAGATAATCACGTTAAATCCACCCGGACATAACCGTCGTCACTGCCCTCCAGCTCCTCCACTCCCTTGCGCTTCAACGGATTATTCGCAGTCGTATCCATGGGAGGCGAGAAAGACATCTTCCGAGTATCTATCACTGCGCATCGTTTGTGTTAGTCTGGGTATTGGACGACCATCTCCCTTCACTGCTATCGGCTCTCTTCTCTTGAGCCAAGGAGGGGAGGAGGAGGTCAGCCCCCGTACCTGGTGCGCCACCGCTCCCAGCCCATGCCTCGTTGTACGCTGGCGGATCCATGTTGACGTCTCCTTCCGTCGGCTGCTGTGAAGCCATGATGGCTTCTTGCATAGCGGTATCTTGATCTGTTTCGGGGAATGATTGGGCATTCGATTGGGGATTGACGATCTCCCGACAGACGGGGTTGACTAATCGGTCCTTCATGGTGTCGTTGACGTATACGAGGAAATATGGGGTAGGTGGGTTTTGTTCTTGTCGATCTTGGAAGATTTCGGATGGATCTTGGACTTCTGTGACTTCGCTGTCGTTGTATTTGCGCCAGATATTTTTCTTGAAGTCGTAGATGTATATCCAGTAATGCCCGAAGCTCACTGAGCCGCGGTGGACAAAGACGGCATGCAATCGATAAGCCAGATGTTTGTAGTCGGCAAACTGACTCGATATCATTGTTTGCGTGTCTCTGATCTCTTTCTCGATGTCTGGGCCATGGTCAGCATAGCCCTGGGGCACTGGTGGATTTGCAGTATAAACTTACGACTCAGCTCGGTTTGCGTAATCTGAGAAAGTTGTCCAATTTCGGACGCAAGCTGTGGGTTGATATCCAGTGCGTCCTTTGCAGCCTCCGGGTCTTCCTTCATCGAGTTGAGGTCATCAAGCAAGTCTTTGGTGCTACTAAACAGCGTCGGCATATCAAGCCCATCGCTCTCCTGCAGTAACGGATTATGGTTAGCAATGCACGTAGATGATACAGGGAGTAGTATAAACATACATTCTTGCGCAACAACTCCGCTCGTCGAGCTTCCAGTTTCCTCAAAGATTTCTTCCACTCCCAGGACTGCTCTCGTCGTTTCAGAATCTCAGGGTGCTGCGTATCCATGTACCGATCAAGGTATATCGTTTCCTTCAAGTCGAGATGATGGGTGGATTTGAAAGAACTCTTCTTTACCGGATCGAATTGAACACGCTGTACTTGTACTTGAAGCACCGGGGGCAATTTGCTGATGGCACCGTATTGTTCGGCTATGGAGTTGTCAATATTGACTTTCTGGACATCAAATGCGCCGTCAATTGCCGCGTATATATCACGGGATCCAGTTGCAACGTCGACTTTGATATCGCACCACCATTCTTCCCTCGAGCGGACGTTCTTCGTAGTAGAGAGATAAGATTTGGTCCGTCCGTAGAACAAGCTGCGGAGATTGTCAGCTGAATACCAAGTAATCTGATAAAGATGAGCATACTCTTTGATCTGGTCGACCTGCTCACCATCAGACGCAATCCCAAGGGGTCTGATGGCGCACTGGCTCTGGAAAAGAACGTTATTGATCACCTCCGTCACGTCTTGCTGAGCCCCGATTTCCACCTCTTCTATAAGCTGCTTACGCGGATCTACCTGCGGAGTAGGTCGAGGAGGAACTGGCGGAGGTTGACTAGGCGGTGCGATTGGAGCTGTCGCTGGCTCAAGGGGAGAGATATCGTCATCGTCAGTAGCCTCGGGTGCATTGTCGTTGCCCGAATCCGCCATGACAACATCGGTCTGCTGGGATGCATTTTCCTGACCACCTGCGGGGGCGGCTGGCGCATCCTGCTTTGTGGTTTCGGAAACAAGAGTAGCGTCACTATCAACGTCGCTTATAAGTCGCTGGGGCCTCTCTGCCTCGGCGATGGCAGGGTTCTCGCTTGGATCTCTTTTCTCGGCTTCCTCAGTAGTGGTCTGTGGGGGGCCGAGAGGGCCCATGATCGGCATCCCGCTGATTTCCCCAAGGCCTGAAGGCCTACCTGCGGATATTGTTGATCGGCGACGAATTGCGGCCTCGTTGGATGGGCTGATCAAAGTCAATCGTGCCAATTCCTGTCCTGGAATCACATAAGGACTGGATGAGTTTATCATATCATTGAATAGGATTCGCAGTTCTCGAAGAACTGGGCAAAAGGTCAGCATCTGCGGCCTGCTCTCTGTATCGCTAAAACTTACACTTTTGGGAGCGTTCCACCTCTTGTTTCTGTACTTTGCGTGATCCGACTTGCTTTTTTTCTATACCCTCATCATCCATCTCCATGCAAAAGCTCTCGAAATCAAGCACCATCTCACGGAACGGAAGCACTGAGAAGTAGAACTGGAGCAAGCTGTTGAGGTAGCAGGTATTGCCAATATTCTGTAACCCAACAGGCCACTCTGACATATTTCGTCCGGGTTGTGCAGCAGCACCCGGGACCATGCTGCTCAGCAATGGACTGTTCTTGTCCTGTGCTATGAGGTACAGAGCGCGGTTGTATGTCTCAGCCTGAGCCGGAGCTTCATCAATACAGATCGTATATGCTGCCATGATTGCTCCATCGTCGATGGTGCGGTCTGGAATCTGAAGGAGACGGTAGGCATCTGCGACGTCCATTTCACCAGCACCCGCCTCGCCGGTTTGAATGAAGTGCTTCAGACCTTCTGATTTCCGAGATTGGGCAATGAGATCGACAGCCCTTCGTGCAAGGTCTCTGGTTGCGGGGTTGTCATTCACCTAATACAACTATCAGTTTCATGATTCAAACGGTGAAAGCGCCTGAGAATAATACCTTCGCCGTATACATGGTGATGATGAAATCATCGGCTGTCTTGTCATCAACTCCAAGGAAAACCTGGGCTTGCTCGGCATTCGAGACTTCTATTTCCACCAGTCAGTTATCAAGGCTAACCTGTAATTCACTTGTACATAGAACTTACTGTCCTCTGCTGCGGACTTGATGCGCTCACTCCGCCTACTGTCTCCTATCCTCCATAGCTGCGTCCGGCTTTCAGTCTCCTGGTTGGTAGAGTTCATGAAAGCATAGAACTTTCCAATGATACTGTCTTCAGTGAGACGGGTATCATCATGGCTGAGGCCAAAGTAACGATATGCAGTGACTATATCGTCGTCGGTATACTTTCCTTCCGCATAGGCGACTTGAACAGCTTGGTCGATGATGGCTCCATCTTCCCCACCTCTGAGCTCACCGATAGCTTTCAGACATTGGAGGTAAAGCGACGTCCTTCCCGGATCTACAGAGACTTGTCGATTGAAGGCGTCCACAACAAGGGTCGATGACATGTTCTCGACGGCTCCTAAGTCCTCGTAATACCTGGGTAAGTGGTCAGACTGATGTTAAGGATCATAGAGCTTGAGGGTAGACAAACGGTGCGGGTGCCATGGAGAACTCGTTTGACCGTGATGTCTTGGAATCTATTTACAGATTAGCTATGCGCAACTGGGAGGTGAGATATATACTCACAAGCTAAAGCTTCTAACGCGTCAAGGAGATCATCTGATGCTGGGGGACCAATGGGATCTATTTGGTTGCCTCTTCTTTCCGATGGTGGACGCTGCTCCATAAGCGCTGCCAGCTCATGCGCAATATCGTCAAGGAAAATCTTTTGTTGATCCTGGTACGGGTATTCTGCCCATGGGTTTGGTCGGGGAGGGTCCCAGAGACCTTCAGCCTCCTTGTCTGCATTAGAACCGGTTCTGTCTATAATGGATTGCCAAAGTAGGTACCTACCTTGAATGTGAAACCCAGAAATTCCAGCAACTCTCCACATGGTCGCCCCTCAACACCAAAGCAAGCCATGAATCTCTTGTTGACGGCTGATATTGACTTGCTGCGCTGGACATCGCGAATGGCATTGGCGATGTATATGCGCAAGTTTGCCAGCACGCTAATAGGAGGCGGCCGAGCGATCCCCTCCATACGCTCCGGATACGCAGCAATCGCCGCGTCTGTCCGCTCCGCCAGCAAGTCCACATCGGTTAATAATCGCACCCGATCGTCCGCAAGGACGGGGCTCAGGACGCGAACGGACGCCGCCGCGGAGCACGACAGATACGAGCATTCGTAGTGGAACGATTCCGCGACCTGACCCTTGGGTGTCACCTCGACGGGCGAAACACCGCCCCTCTGCCTGCCTGACTTGTAGGCGAAATGATGGATGTGACTGGAGAGGTTTTGTCCGGATTGACCGATTGCGCCAGTGTAATTCACGACGACCTGGAGATGGGTCCGGCATTTGGTACACATCGCTGAGACTCTCGAAGGTGTTCCGGTATTCCTTCTCTGATCCGGCTGAGAGAGGAACGTCTGCATTTCTTTTCGCGCATACTGATGGCGACATGCTAGTGGTGAGATAAAGTCTTGCGGGCCGTTGTAGTGTTCAGGGTATACCGGGGGTACGTCAGAGAGCAGGTTGCGGCCGGTGCCCGGAGGATGGGCGGGATCGTAGTCTTGAACATCCTGTACAAGACGGGGGGCAGTCTTGCCTGTAATATAATAATTCGATAAAATTAGTAAATGGCCTTGGTTGGCGACAAGCTGGCTGGAATCTGGGGGATACATACCGGACCTCTGCAGAGATGACATCGGGAGGCTCTTATGAGCTCACAGGTTCAGAAGGCCAGGCTAGACGAACAACCGATCAAACAAAGTAACGCTCATCCATAGAACCAATAAGAGCGCTTCAGGTAGTATTGCAAATGAGACTGGCGTTATCAATAAGCACTGGGCATTTATACACTTCGCAGATAGCGGGGAGCTAGCTCACCACACTTGGGCGGAGGCGGCACGATAGCAGTATTCAACACCACCGCAGCGCAAGGCAATAAACGTTGATATAAGTTGACAACAAGAGATCTGACAAGTAAAAGATATCTTTGCGCTTGAGAGTATGCGACGAACTGTGCAGGGCTGTAGTTGTTTAGCGCTCTCCATGGAGCTTCATTGTAGCTCCAGGAAAGCGGTGTATCATGGCAGAACCCGCCCTTCCAAATTCCGAATCAATCATCGGACCGCCGGCCAACAACGAACTACGATAGCAGCCAGACCGTCCACCATCCCTCCGCAACTTCGACAGCCACGATGGCCCCGGAACACACAGAAACCCACTACCACCCGCACGATGCGATCGGTTCGGCAATGAAGGCGACCACCCTCACTGGTGGGGTTGGTCTCTTCGCGGCCGCCGTGCAGAACACCTTGACCAAGCAGAATGTCGGACCACTGGGAGTCTTCTTCAAGAGCGGCGGCACAATCGGTATTTTCGGTATGGAAATGGTTATTCTGGATGCTGTGGAAGGGGTACAATGGGGTGGTTAGGAATGGTGGCTAACAAGGAATCATTTTAGCGGCAATGGGTGGTACCTATGAGTTCGTGAAGACCGCATCGGCCAACCTGCGAGAGAAGGAAGACCACTGGAACGTTGCGATTGGAGGTTTCTTCTCTGGTGCCATTCTGGGTCTGCGAGGTGCGTACCTACTTCCTCTTTGCTTTCTGGATATCCCGCTCCGTTGAACTTGTTTCTGATCATATATTCGTTGCAGCTCGGACATTCCCCGCTCTGATGGGCTACGGCGCTGGTTTGGCCATTGGTATGAGCGGATTCAACTACGCTGGCGGTCTGTGGGGTTACAAGAGAGACAAAGACCTCTCGGTCGACGAATTCGAGCGCCGTACACAATTGCGGAAGAACTACCGGATTCCCGGGGAACAGACTTTGGCCGAGCTGGGCGAGGGACGAGGTATGTGGACTTGATATGAGATGTTACTGGAATGATACTAACTGGTGTATGATATAGGTCTCTACGGCCCTGGCTACGCAGAGAGACGGCGCGAGAGAATCAAGGAAGCATACGGCTTTGACGTCCCCACGACCCAGGCACCAGCATCATGAGAAGGAACGGTTGGATGTGTTTTGTTCGGCGTGCTTTCTGTAAATTATCACCATACCAATTCGTTTGCAACAAAACCGTTTCTTTGTGGCGTTGCGGTTTACATGGATTTTCTACGGAGTAATACCTCTGCAGGGGTGGAGACATGATAGGGACGTTAGAGGTTCTTCAGGGATGCCCTAGTCACAACGGACCGTACTCCGTAGACACCTTATTCTTGGTAAGTGTCTGTGTTAACATTTGACATGTCGTTCTACAGCGCTGGCCGAGTATGGGGTAACCGCGAGCGGCAGCCAATCAGCGAACGAGGTTATCAAATCATCGGGAGCAGGAGTGATAATTATGTAATCGATCAATCGCATTCCCGTCGATAGTACAGAGTAGGAAGGAATCCTAAAGCATTCGCTACATTTTATGTCGGGCAGATGCAAGGAATCATAATTTCCCATATGTACGGGGTATGCAGTGAGTACAGGGGTATGCTCTCCTTTTAATACTGTCATGTGACATTAACATCAGTATGTGCAGTACTCCGTACTCTGTATTCTGTACTCTAACCATAATCTCGGTACGGAATTGACATCCTGAAATACATGATTCAGACTCAACTGAACATTGTGCCTTGGGTTGTGATCCGTGAGATAAGACGACATATAGTGATGACAACACGATAGCTTCATGAATACCCGATTAGGAAACTCTGAACAAAAGGCTGAATGGGTTCTCCTCACGACAACCATGGACCCTTTTCTTCATGAATCAGCAGTCCGTCATGGACTCCCTCTGCTATGTTCTACCCCTCAACCCCTCTGCCTCCGTGCATAGTACGCAGTCTTAATGCGGCTTTACCCGGCCAGCCGGAAGATGCCCCGTGCATGATATAATATTAGATAATCGGCGATTTGCCACAGGCAAAAAAGGGGCAACTCTAATGGAATTTGATATTAACTGGTAGAATCACAGTGAACGATCATCATGAAAGACGCGAAAGCATTGGCTGTTGGGGGGTTCCATCGAAGCCATCCAGAAACGGAGAAAAAGAGTACAAGCCACTCCCGACTCCTGAACAGGCAACGGAATTACTGGACTTGTAAGTACGTGAACTCCTCTGCCAATTAACTGATCAAACTCTCATCACTTCATCATAGAACCATCCGGGAGTCCCGTATCTTAGGGAGAGATCCGTATACGGAGTATACACACACACATACATACATAGTAATAGTAGAAGTCATACCGTCGCATTTTTCGGGGTTTCTGGTCAAGACGTCATTCAACCGGATTCCTTTAAGAGGTATATACTCTTTTCCCTTTCCTGAGTATGTACTCCGTACACTGTACTTGAAAGTGCTCTATTCTGTGAATACTACTCAATTGCCTCCTGATGAACATCAAATAGTCAGTGGAGCGACTAGTCCTTTGTTCTTTTCTTCTTCTTTTTTTTTTTTTTGCTTAATTAAACTATTATAAGAAAACCCCCCCGCAAACAGAACTCCTAGCACTACTACTACTACCACTACTACTACTACGGAGTACTACTAGAGAAAGGGCACTATCACTTATATACGACGACTGTATCGTTCGCCTGGTAACCACCTCCCCAGGGGTTCCTTTTCCTCTTTTTTCCCTCCCTTTTTTTTTTTTTTTTTCTGTTATTTTTAATTTTTCCCTATTTTTTGTCTTCATTCTATTCTTATATTGTTATTCTGCGACTTCCTATATACCCGTTCAATTCCCCCCCCTCGTCGATCGATCGGCCTGTTCGAAACCGTCCGCACTTGCATGCAGTGAGAATATAGAGGAAGTACTCGACTACTACAACAACGTCCCTGGATCTTATTACAACGAACGACTCGAGATTCTTCCAGTGCAAAGCGACTTGCCCCTCCTTCTCTCCTCTCCTCTCCTCTCCTCTCCTCTCCTCCTCTCCTCCTCTCCTCCTCTCCTCCTCTCCTCCTCTCCTCTCCTCCTCCCTCGCCCGTCCCGTGACCATGGCGATGGCCGCACGGCCACCGAGCCCCCTGGTGCAGGATGCATATGGCCCAATCCCTCAGCAGCCCAACAGCAATGCTGCCAACTTCAACAATAACGGTGCTACCCATCCGGACGCTGTCGCCTTGAGTCGTGGCTATGGTTCCCGCTCCAACTCCAGACCGAATTCCTTTGTCGCCAGTAGTACCGCCTCTAACGTGGCTCACGGTGCCCTGCTCGATCCCCCCTCCATCGCTGGCGCTGCCGGATCTCGTTATTCCCTACCCCCATATCCGCAATACCACCACAACCCTCGGTTCCACGAGGACTTCGATGCAGCCAGTCAGCGTGGTTCCGTCATTTTGGAAGGCCCGTCAGCTGTCCAAGCAGCAGCAGCCGCCACCCCGGGCGTTCAGCGCTCCGTCTCGCAAATGTCCCAGTCTCGTTCCGCAACTCCCACTCGTACAAGTACGTTGAAAAAACGCGCTTCTCTCACCAAGAGGGGCAGTATGCGTCGCAGTGGGAGCAAGAAAAGCATGCGCGCCGGCAGTGTTCGCAGTTTGGATCGGGAGCGGTACGGTGCTGACGGCGTCGATGATATTAACAGTGCCTTTGCCGTCCCGATTCCAACAGACGGTAATCCTACAGAATCTTTGGCTAATCGCTTTCAATGTACGTCTTTATTTTTTACTAACTTTATTTTTATTTTTTTAATCGGATCGACACTGACACCAGATAGCATGGCGCAAAATCTTGAAAGACCTGATCATCTTCTTCAAAGAAATCCAGAAATCGTACGAAATGCGCTCGAAATTGTTCCTGTCGGCTTCCAACGTCATCAACAATTCTACGATGCCTCCGTCCTTCCTCAAATCGGGCGGTATCGCCGATGCGACCGAGATCCTCCGCGACTTCCATCGACAGGGCTATCTCGAAGCGAACAAAGCCGCCGAGGTTGAAAGCGAAGTTGTCAACCAGTTGATGAGCCTCCGCAATGACCTGCATAAGAAGATCAAGGAAATCAAGGGTCTCACCAGTGATTTTAAGAATACTGTGGAGAAGGAAGTCGACGGCACCCGCAAGTCGGTCCGGAACCTGCACGATGCCCTGGATGTCGTCGACAGCGACCCTGCTGCGGCGTCCGGGAGAGGCGATCCGTTTATCGTTCGTCTGAATGTCGATAGGCAGATTGAGAAGCAAATCGAGGAGGAGAATTATTTGCACAGGGTATGTTCTATATTAAACTTCGACTTTTGCATTGGTGCGGGGAAACTAAAAGGTTATAGGCATACCTTAACTTGGAAAACTCCGGTCGTGAACTCGAGTCCATTGTGGTGAGCGAAATCCAAAAGGCTTACAACGCATATGCCAGCGTCCTCAAACGCGAGGCCGACGAGGCATACGATACCGTCGAGAAATTGCGCGCGGGGCCGATTGGGATGCCTCAGGATCACGAATGGAACTCGTTCATTTCCAGCACCGATGACATGGTCGATCCGCGCGTGCCTCTCCGCAACGTGGAGAATATCACCTACCCAGGCAGGGATCATCCCGCTGCTGCAGAAGTGCGATCCGGCATGTTGGAACGCAAGAGCAAGTACCTGAAGAGCTACACACCGGGCTGGTAAGTTTCCTTTTACTGGTATTCTATTCAGTACTGACTGGTTAGGTATGTCCTGTCGCCGACTCATCTGCATGAGTTCAAGTCGGCCGATCTAGTGGCTTCGCAGACTCCCATGATGTCTCTATACCTCCCGGAGCAGAAGCTGGGCCAGCATTCTGAACCGGGCTCGTCGTCGTACAAGTTCATGCTCAAAGGACGCCAGACAGGAACCATGCACCGGGGTCACTCCTGGGTGTTCCGTGCGGAGACGCATGAGACCATGATGTCATGGTTCGAGGACATCGGGAGCTTGATCTCCAAGACCGGTGAAGCTCGCAATGCGTTTGTTCGCCGACATGTCCGGAGCGTGAGCGGAAACAGCATTACTATCTCTGGGAGCAGTGATGTGATGGAAGATGAGGAAGACGAGGCCGACAGGACTCCGTATTCCAGTGAGGCCGCCTTGATGAACGTCGAGCGGCCGACCTCGCAACCCCGCCAGCCCGGCGGACGCTTTCCAAGTGATGTGCACATCGATCGGCATCTGCAGGTGCCACTGTCTCCATCCAGCGGTGAAAGCTCTGGTGACCGGGACCTTCTGGCAGTTGTTGGATCATCCGGCCCGAATCGATCTACGTCCCCTCTGGACGGTTATGACAATCGTCTCTCGGTAGTATCAGACCGAGATGGGGACGCCGGCAGCACCGCCAGGTCTTCCATTATTCAAGGAGGGAATGACAATTCCTCGTTGGGAGCCGGTCGTATCGAAAGACACGACAGTTATTATGGGGAATGGATTGGGCCAGCGGCCTTTGCTGCGCGTCAGCAGCAACAGGCTCAGTATAAAGCATATAACCCTGCCTCTTCCCAAAATGAGCAGGGTATGCTTCAACCCGACAACGAGAGGCGCCCTCTCTCCTCATCGGACCCGAATCTGCTCGCATCCACCGGGTCCACTCACTCACAGGATCCCTCGGGATTCCGACGACGTCGCGAGAGTGCCTCGACGGCACCTACCACGACGAATGTGACCAACGTGACAGATCACACGAACAACACACTCCCCACATCCATCGACGAACCGTCGATTATCGGGGCTGGTGACCTCGCCGGCCCGCACAGACGGCAGCCAGCCGATGAGACTCTGAAAGAGGATCCTACGTCTGCATCAATTAAGATGGATGGCGTCTCGGTTGCTGACTTCCCCAAAAGGGGTCTTTCACCGGGACGCACGACGTCGAACCAGTTCAACCCTTCCGCGGTAGGTGAGGAATTGAAGCCCACCACTACCGCCGCTACCGGCACCACCGGTACGACTGGTCGCACGAAGGGTAGTGTATCAACACTGGAATTGAAGATCCCAGGACACTACCCACCCCATGTGACCGCATAAACCAGTTTGCTCTGGGTGTCTGAATGTTATATACGAGCATTCCCCACCTGGCATTCTGGCCTATATATCCCTTTTTCGGCTTTTTCTGTGCCGGGGACCTAGCCAGTCCCTCACGATTTTCATTTGGTTTTTCCGCACTTTTGTTTCTTGTATTTATATTTTTGTAACGTTTTTCTTTTGTTGTTTTTTCCTTTGTTAGCATTCCTTTGTCATTCTGACATGACATGTTATGCTATGTTTACGGTTACGGTTTGATTCGATCTCATCTTTTGATATGGTCTGGTTTGGTCTGGAGTTTTATGTGTTTTTTTTTTTTTTTTTTTTTTTTTTTTTTTTTTTTTTTTTTTTTGTTGGTGTACTACTCGGGACGGACGGTTCTGGTTTTTGTCGTATATGGGATACCCAAACCCAAATTGTTTTTCTGTTTTTTGTTGGCGTTTGAAATATGTATGTGTGTGCGCAAAGTTGGGAGGAACTGAATCTGGGAAACTGCTATAGGTTATATATATCCCCCTGTGATGGGGTGGTATGGAATAAAATTCATGATTTACGTCGATGTACTGGTTATCCGATGTTCTTCGTATACAGTAGTAGTCTCACTAACTCCTCTCGATAGGGCTGGGGGTAGTACTAGAGGAGTAACTTTTCAATTAAATATGGATATTCACCACGGTAGATCGTATAAACCAACATTTGCTACCTATTCTATTCTACAAAGTACAATGCAGTAGTGACCTTTTCCAAACTAAACTTCCTTACCAACTGAATCTCCGTAGAGCCTAGACAACAACCCGAGGCCAATCATTATAATACTCATCCACCGTCTCATACGGCCCATAATTCACCCTCCCACCTCGATCATTTCCAGCCAGGGGAATCCCATTCTTCACACGACTAACCAAATCCTGCACCAGTCAACACCATCCATCCCCTTCGCCATAGAGAGGAATGAAACATACCGGATTATAAATAAAAGGCCTCCCAAACGCCACCAAATCCACAACCCCCTCCCTAACAACCCTCTCCGCCTCCTCAACACTATACTCATGATTCACCATCAACATAGTCTTACTACCGGGATACTTAATCATCCCCCCGAACTGCTGTACCGGCTCATAACCCCCCGGTAGCTCCAACCCCTTTGGTCTAGGGTTGGACTTAAAGTATTCATCCGTCCCCTCACGAGAGACATCACACCCGCGTCTTGAAAGATTGATAAATCCGACCTCCCGGGCCACGATTTGGTTAATATAGTAGGTATATGTCTCTGTGAGTTCTGGGAAGGGAACTGCGGAGTCGTTGTAGTCGTCCGACGGGCAGAGTTTCACGCCTACGGACTGGGGGCCGAAGATGGAAATTATGGCGTCGAGGACGGCGAGGGGGAAGCGGGCGCGGTTTTCGATGGAGCCGCCGTATGCGTCTGTGCGGGTGTTGGTGTGGCTGGATGTTTGTTAGTAGATGACTATGCATGGGGAGTGGGGGCTGCTTACGAGCAGAGGAAGTTGTGGAAGAGGTATCCTCTATAATCAGAGTCAGTATCGATGCTGGTTAACGGTTAAAGTGAGTATACCCCTGTGATAGCAACTCAACGCCATCAAACCCAGATTCTTTAGCCAAAGCAACCGAGTGATGGTATTGTTCGACGATAACCTGCGGGTCTTCGATCTCGGTGATATTTTCGGTATAGCCCTAACCAGTCAGCCCTTCAGCTACCAAAAAAAAAAAAAAAAAAAAAAAAAAAAAAAAAAAAAAAAAAAAAACACACTGGAAGCCCCTCCAACGTCCGAAACTTCCCACCCTCAGCCTTCACTTTTGACGGCGCCAGAACCGGATACCCACTCTCCTTAAGCATAGGCATATTCTCATTCTGAATACGACCTACCCAACAAACGACCAACAGTTAGCCCCCCATTTCAGTACACAGCCTCACTGTCAAGAAGCATCAAGGTATCAAAACAAACCAGGATGCCACGGCTGAAACAAAACCCTCCCACCATTCCCATGCACCCCATCCGTAACCCTCCTCCAAGCCTCCACGTGACTCTCATCAAACATAACCGGTGCATGCGGCCACTCCGCCCCATTCAGATACACAAATGTCCCCTCTGCGACGATTAATCCAGCGCCGTCGCGCGCTCGTTCTGCGTAGTGGCGGACTGTTGCGGGGGTGGGTTTGTTGGCGTCAACGCAGCGGTTGCGGGTTAGGGAGGCCATGCAGATGCGGTTGCGGAGGGGGATGGGGCCTAGGGCTGTTGGGTGGAGGAGTGTTGGGTTTGTCATGGTGAGAGTTTTTTTTATCGAGGGGGGTAGGTAGGTGAGTTGAGATTATGCTTTGATATCAATTTCGGACACTTTTGTTTCTTTTCTGAGCAGGATAGTAGCATCTTTGCACGGAGATGATCGGAGATCTTCATAGAGCGGAATACATTTTCCTCTTGCCCTATGCTTAATAACTAACTATGGAAGCTGATTAGATATTAAGGCATTAAGGCATGCAGGGATTTGACTAGGATCCAAGACAATCTCAACTACAGCCTGCTGCAAAGCCTTACAGATTTCTAGGGCATGTATTTTACTGGCACACCCTCTACAAGATTCATTTCTTCGCCGAGATAGCAGAGATGGAGATCAATTATCAGACCGATAAATACAAGCAAACGAGCAGGACAAGGTCAGAAATCATCAATTCCTGTTATTTTCCCATAAAACATGGTAACTAGTGGAGGAAACAAGGAGGATATTAGAAAGCAAAGATAAAAAGACAAACCAAGAATACCTCCATAAAATCACAATCTCAGGGTAATATCATCTCAACTTTTCAGAACCGACCGATTGCCGCCAGGAAAAGTATACAGTAATAATTTCCTATTATTACATGATCTGATCCTGAGTGATTCCAGAAGGAGGTTGGAAGTCACTGTCCATGGCATCAGGGTCACCAGGGCCCGCGTTCATGTACTTGACAAAGGTGATGCCCAGGGGACGACCACCGTACTGGTAGCCAGTGAACTTGGCGATGGAAGTTTCGGCAGTCTCCGCACTGTCAAACTGGACAACACCAGTGCCACGAGAACGGCCATTAGGCTCGTATTGAATCTCGGCACGGTCAACCTTTCCAATGGTCGAGAACAGATCCACAAGATCTTCGTTGCATGTGGACCAGGGCAGCTAAAGTCACAAATGTCAGTGCTGCGTCCGTGTTCAAGGATGGAGATAAACTTACGTTGCGCACATAGATGACGGCAGACCGGTCTCCACCGGACGTCGCAAAGTCCGTGAACGGGTTCGGAGGCACTGCGGAAACAGGTTCGAAGCCCGGTCCTCCGGGTCCTCCGGGTCCTGCTGGTCCTCCAAAGCCAGGACCAGGACCAGGACCACCGCCGTAGCCGCCGCGGCCACCGAAGCCACCGCCAAATCCACCGCGGCCACCGAAGCCACCACCACGACCACCGAAGCCACCACCACGACCACCGAAGCCACCGCCGAAACCGCCGCGGCCGCCGAAGCCAGGGGGACCACCGGCAAATCTGTCCTCACGGACCTCCAACATCCGGCCTTGCCAGTCGTAGCCGTTAAACTGTTGAATGGCATTGCGCGCATCATCTGGCGATTCAAACGCGACAATTCCAGAGCCCTTGGGACGACCAGTGGGGTCGGTGTGGACATCGGCACGGATCACGGTACCTTGCTGAGCTGTCACGGAGTTAACCCAAGAATCCCAAGGAATTACCCCGAAAATTTCCGATGATCTAGTACTTACCAGCTTGGCGGAAGAGATCCTTCAGGTCTTGCCAGCCAACATTGAACGGGAGCTACAAAATGTCAACATCACAGGACTAGGAGAATCTGGCATATGGGATAGGAAACCAACGTTGTTCACGTAGAGCTGTCGGCCAGCAGCGCCGGCACCGAAGCCACCGCCGCCGCCGAAGCCACCTCCAAAACCGCCGCCCCGGGCGGGAAATTCACCGCGAGGGGGGCCACCAGTGAAGCGGGGCTCAGCTTCACGGTCCTTCACTGAGTCAGTAACTCTGCTTCTCCGTTTAGGAAGAGGGAAAGTACCTCGCGAACGTAGACGAGACGACCCATAAGGTTTTGGTTGCTGAGCGAGTTGACAGCATTTTGCGCTTGGTCCCTTGTTGCGTATTCCACAATCCTGTTCCAGTATTAGTTTTCTGCTTGTGTTGGTGGAATTGAAGGAATACATACCCGCATCCCTACATGTATCCGAAGGCCAGAACCCATCCCGTCAACCCAACAGTCCATCAAAGGGTAAACCAATAACAAAAGAAAAAAAAAAAAAAAAAGAAAAGAAAAGAAAACCAGCCACGCTACACATTGGCGCCCACCTTCGACATTCCATTGGGAAGTAGTAAGACATCGGCAAAGAGAACCTCTCCAGCTATAGGGACGAAAAGCGGAAACAATCCCCCCCTCCAAGTCAGCTAGGCAATTCCAAATCCAACAACAGGGGACGTGAAACGGTGTTGGAACGGTTGTCGCGATATGGTAGTGATTGTAGTATGGTAAAGATGGTGGACGATGATAATAAAGATAATGACCCTTGCTCACCCTGTCTCATAAAATCTTTCAGATGATGCCACTTGACATCGTAGGACAGATTGCCCACATAGACCCGACGGTCTTGCTGGGATGATTCGCGAACGGTCTGCATCATTTGCTCTTTGGCGACAACTCGTTCTTCGAAAGGTCTAGGAGGACCGTAACTAGCGCGACCACCGGCAGAAGCAGCACCGGAAGGACTCAAAGGCGAACGGGAGCGGCGATCAGTACGGTAGTCGTCACGGCTGCGCGAACGACTGCGGGGCGAGTATGAGCGACGGCTCCGTCGGGGACTCCGGGAACGACGACGAGGGGAACGAGATCTCTCGCGCTGAGGGGGGAAGTCAGTAACCAAATCGCGCATGGACTGGCCGAGAAAGAAGATGAAAGTGATACACTTAAGGAAGTGTGTGAAACAGAGGTAATAAGATGAGAGAGTGAGAGAGGGGAGGTACGGAGTAGTATAACCGGAAATGGGGAAATTGGGAAGTGCGGTTCCGACGGAGGGGGGGTCTTGGTCAGGTGACGCGGCTGGATGCAACGGAAAGAAGAGAGAGAGAGTGTGTGTTTATGTGTGTTATATGAGGGTAACAACAGGGTAACAGCAGAAGCGAAGAGGACCCCGGGGACAGAACCACAATATATAACTCAAAATTCACAAAACACGGTCATCAACAACACAAAGTACAGTGTGTGTGTGTATGTATAAGTGATGTGATTGCTGACTCGGAGAACCGCGTCCGGAATGTACCGAGTATTGGGGGGGATATAAACAGCAGCGCAAAGGAATGTTATGAAATGGAAAATTCCACTTACTTGATAGGGGCGGTAGACGTCGGCTGTAAGAGAATCTGGAGTGTAAGCCGGGTTACTTTTAAGTAAAGGTTAAACGGAGAGAGAGAGAGAGAGACGAGGATAGAGAGAAAGAGAGGAAAGGACAAGAAGAGGGGAAAAGGAGAAAAGCAAAAAGAGGAGAACACGGCCAGCTGAAAATGGGTAGCCAAAAAGAACTGATTGGCGAGCAGTGGTGATAGTGGTGATAGTGACAGGATACAGCAAAGCCAGCATATAATAGGAGCTATTAACAGGGAAAGAACACCCACCCATGTTGAGACTGCGCGAGGTAGACAAGAGTAGTAGAGTAGTCGTGGGAAGATGGTTGGTTGTCTCTACTCTATTCTACCCAAATCGTTGATAATGGGAAAAGAGAAGAGAAAGAGTGAGTGGAAAGAAGAAATCAGGGAAAAAAACACGACGCGACAAGACACCCACGGACATGCGCTCTAAACCACGCACGGTTGGGGGAAGCTGTAGGGTAACTGTAGGATAGCTAACGGGACATGCCTAGGAAAAGGAAAAGAGCTGGAAAATCACAGGAAAAAGACAGAAAACAGTCACTGATTGCGCTTATCTGATTGGTCATATCAGTTGGATTGGTGCCTGAGGCAGTAACTGGGTGCAATACAATGTTGACTAGTTTTTAACAAACAAGTAGAATTCACTATGCCGGTATAATTCTATGCATTTGACAATCTGATCATATCAGTCAAGATAAGTGCAAATTGTTCCATTAACGCTGCTGATATCGTCTTGGCTCCGCTCCGGCCAAATTCTACCTCCGGACTCACCACCACTACTACCATACTCTACACACTCTACACACGAACAACGACAATGGCGCAACCACTCCTCTCCCTCCGCCGTCGGGGCTTAACCTTTTCCTGTCGCCGTCTAAACCTCTCCTCTCCATCCAGATCCATCGCGTCCTACTCCCGCATCACACCTACGAGACCGCAACACCAACATCACTGCCAACAACGACAACGCCTCCAACCCTTCACCAGAACATATCACTCCGACCACCACCCCTCCAAACCCCCACAAGAAAACGAATACTCCAACTCCCAACTCACCATCCTTTCCGCCTCCCTCTCACACGTCCCCCGCCACGGCTTCTCCCGCGACGCTCTGATCCTAGGCGCGCGCGACTCCGGATTCCTCGATGTCTCGGTGCAACTCTTGCCGCGTGGGGAGTTTGATCTCGTGCTGTTCTGGCTGGCGAGTAGACGGGGGTTGTTGAGGAATGTTGCTGAGAAGTTGAAGGAGAGGGATGGGTTGTCTGTGGAGGAGAAGGTGAGGTGTTTGGTTATGGAGAGGTTGAGGATGAATGAGATGGTTAAGGAGGAGTGGCAGGGTGTAAGTTTCCTTCCTTCTGATTATGTGTGAAGGGTATGGGTTGGTGATGCTGACTGATTACTATGTAGGCGCTGGCACTCATGTCTCTCGCCGGGAATATCCCCCTCTCACTCTCCGAACTTCACGCCCTCTCGTCTGATATCTTGAACCTCGCCGGTGATACTTCTGTCGATTCCTCGTGGTACACGAAGCGTATGTCCGTGGCCGCTATCTACGCCAGCGCAGAGGTCTACATGACTCGCGACCAAAGCCCGAACCTCGTCGAGACGGAGGAGTTTGTTAACCGGCGCTTCGAGGATAGTGTTGCGATTGGCGAGAAGTTGAGCGGTGCTAAGCAGTGTCTTGGCTTTATGGGAACGACTGCTGTTGGATTGGGGAGGAGTTGGGGATTGAAGATTTAGCTATGTTCAAATTGTATTGATATGGAGATGTGTATATTACAGGCTTATACTAGCTTTTCATTATTTATACAGAGCGCCTCTTCTGTACACGCGCTTCCAACCGACTCACCCATCCCTCCGGTCCAAGCAAGTCCCTCACAGCCCGCCGATTCGGCGCCATATCCCACCACGGCTCTCGAACCCGGACCTTTTCTCCCTCTTCTACCTGGCGACGACGATACCAATGATCTTTAAGATCCCGGTCCCGTTGGCGTAGAATCTCCTTTAGGATATAGCACGTCCGTTCATTTGCATCCACACCAATCACTTCCATCTCCTGCAATAGCGAAATCACCCCGCCCAGATCGTTCATGCCCTGCCAGTAGAAGCTGATCAACTCGTTGTACAATCCTGTCGAAGTACCCAGGACTGCAGACGCGCGGCCATGAGACTTGATCGTTGAGCGGAATTGCCCAATGAGCTGCGACTTGGGGTAGTGCTGGTTGAGCAAACGGAAAGCAACGAGAAGCATCTTAGGGTACAGCGAAACAACAACCGGTTTAACAGGAACAGACGCCGGAATCTCCAAAGTCGGCTGTCCCTGCTCCTGCTCGTATTGACGCTTCCTCTGCCCAGAAACAGTATTCGGCCCAATATGCTCCAGCATCGAGAAAATGCGCGCCTTGCAAACATCCCAGATCCCAATATCCCCCTTGTCATCATTAACAGCTTCCTTCAGCACATTCTCAATCTTCTCCGCCTCCCTCTTCACTATAATCCTGATCGCCCGCTGTATGGGAACCTGTTTCCCCTCTTCACCCAGTATCTCGGAGATATCAACCACCGTTTCCCCACCCTCACCAACCGTCATCTCAGCCCACATCTCATCCTCCTCATCGCACTCTTCTTCAGTATGCGTCGTGCGATGCCGTAGTTGTCGCCGTTCACCACCGCGCTTATCCTTCCCCCGCACTTGCGCGAGAACTGACTCGAAGATCTCAGAGAGTCGGGATATCTCGTCCTTACCACCACCACCACTACCACTATCGCCTTTCTTCTTCAGTCCCTGAGATGCTGCAAACGCGGGATATGTTTCTGATTTCTGGAGCTCGCCCAGTAGTTCACCGAAGGCCTTTTTCTCCTTGCGGGTCATTGCGACCTTTCGCTTTTTCGATGCGTCTCGGCTCGACGACAGTCGCGAGGCTGCATGTTTCTGGAGAAAGGATGGTCGTGGTGCTGGTTCGGTATTCGTAGTTGTCGATGAGGGCGGCGTGCTGGAGGGGTTTGAGATATCCTCACCCGGGCCGTCAGCTGTCGTGGAGTATGACGTGCGGAGAGTCGGAGCTGCAAGGGTGCGTGTTTGGTAGAGGAATGGGGCAATTGAGCTGTGTCGGGCTGCTAGCAGCCATTGACGCGAGGTGGCCATGTTGTCTAGCGATCACAGGCCTTGTGTAGGTGTGGTTGTTGGCTGGGTGTGAGCAGGTGGAAAAAATTTCGGAGGTTGAATCGCCGCCTCTTTGCCATCTACACTGAACCAAGACAGACTGGCGCCCAACATAGAAGACTGTAGAAGGAAAGTAAAAGACGGAATATACCATAGGATTTCTAAACACACTACAGAGTACTACTTACCACTATCTACCATTGTCTTTGTACGGAGTAGATCAGCGCCTAATGGCCCACGTGACACCGCGACGGCGTGCACGCGTTTCTCCCGCGGCCAAAATGCGACTCAATTGACACCGTCAGTCAGCAACACAGGCAAAACCCCAACAAGGAACGCACCGCCAAAATGCCCGTCGAAGAACTCTCCGACTTCGAAAAACAACGCCTAGCTAACATCGCCGAACGCGACCAACTCCTCAAAAAACTAAAACAAGAAGCTCAATCCTCCGGCCTCGCCCTCCCACCACCACCACGCCCAACAGCCAAAAACCCACCCACAGATTCCTCCAGATCAAAAAAGAGGCCCGCGCCCAGAAAACCAGTCATCAAAGATGAATCCGCCGCCCCGCGCCGTGTGTCCTCCCGTTTGCGCGGACTCGCAGCGGATAGCGAAGTCGCGAAGCGCAAGGCGGACGAGCAGCAGGATGCGATTATGGAGGCGGAGCGGGCGAAGAAGGTGCGCAAGTCGGATTCGTTTTCATTTAATGAGATGGTTGTTTCGGGGCAGAAGCTTAGTGGGGAGGGGTTGATTGGAGTGGATGTTGTGACGAAGGGGGTTGCGAAGCCGTATGAGCGGACGTTTGGGGATGAGGATATTCAGATGACGACGGATAAGGATTTGAAGGCAGCGAGGGAGGAGATGAGTGGGTTGCAGTTGTGGGAGGCTTGGGGGCCCAATCGTATGTTTCCTGCCCTGGCATACCTATATGCAAAGCTAATGATGTGCAGGTATCAAGTTGACCCCCGAGCGAATCTACACAATGACCTTCCACCCCTCAGAAACGAAACCATTGATCTTCGCGGGAGACAAACTGGGCCACCTGGGCGTCCTAGACGCATCCCAAGAGAAGCCCGTTTTCGTCAAAGACGAAGACGAGGAGGACGCCGAAGAAGATGACCCAGACCCTATCCTGACAACCCTTAAACCACACACCCGCACCATCAGCTCCATGACCATCCACCCTGCCAAACCAACACACCTCTATACGGCAAGCTACGACAGCTCCATCCGCGAAATGGACCTGGAAAAGACCACCTCCGTTGAGAAATACGCCCCGACATCCCTGGCCGATGACCTCCCCCTCTCCGGCATCGATATGGCCCCCGACGACCCTAACACCATCTACTGGACCTCCCTCGACGGTGCTTTTGGTCGCCATGACATGCGCACGCCTCCGCCCTCGTCAACAGAGGTAGTAGAGTCATGGCAGCTGTCCGAGAAGAAAATCGGAGGATTCTCGCTCTACCCAACGCACCCGCATTACTTCGTCACGGCGAGTTTAGATCGGACAATGAAGCTATGGGACCTAAGGAATCTCTCACGCGATGATCCTGTGCCCGTTGGTGAACATGCCAGTCGATTGTCCGTTTCGCACGCGGCATTCAACTCAGCAGGTCAGGTCGCTACCTCGTCGTACGATGATAGTCTCAAGATCTACGACCTCGCGGCGCAGGGCATCAATACCTGGCCAGAAGACCATGGTGAGACCCTCTCAGACGAGCAAATGAAACCAGACACTGTCGTTCGTCATAACTGCCAGACTGGTCGTTGGGTTACTATGTACGTCCCCTTTCCCTCTAACCCTACATTTCCTATCTTCACCAAACAATAGTCAATTCTAACAAAATGACAGCCTCCGCCCCCAATGGCAGCAAAATCCGCAATCCCCTATCCAACGCTTCTGCATCGGAAACATGAACCGCTTCATCGACGTCTACAGTTCCGCAGGTGATCAGCTCGCCCAGCTGGGTGGTGAGGGCATCACCGCCGTGCCGGCTGTGTCTGTTTTCCACCCGAGTAAGAACTGGGTTGTTGGAGGGACGGCGAGTGGGAAGATGTGTTTGTGGATGTAATATTTTTGCTTCTTTAATTTGGGTTTTATCTACCATCTTGTTTGTTATGTTATATTGGATGCGAGTTATGGAAAAGCTTGGCAGTCAATCGTAGGAAGAATGCTTGTATAATCTAGCAGCTCCCAGGAGAGACCGAATTTATATTCTTGGAACATCTTTTTATCTTATCCAATCCCAAAAGAGCAAACGGCATTCAGGGCAGGGTATCAACACCATGGAAAATGCTTTCCCGCAATGATCAACAAAAAAAGAAAAGAGAAGAAAAAAAGTACACAAGGCAAACGAAAAGACATCAAATCATAAACACATTGTTCGCGACAACAGGTGGCAGACAGACAGGCAAGAAATCGAGGGAGGATATACAACAGATAACAGTCCACACAAAACCTCTGTCTTGTTATACAAACCTGTCGACCGCTGGGAGATATGTACCAAATGGGAGAAGAAGAAGAAGAAGAAGAAGAAGAAGAAGAAACGCATGCCACCCTTTGCTTTCAGAGGAAACAAGACGAAGAAAAAAGACGAAGAAAAAAGAAACGAAAAAGTCATGGCACCGTGTATATCGATCATGACCGTGAAAATAACGAACTCCTGTACAAAAATTATATAAATAAGATATCCGCCCACAAGAAAAAGAGTTTATAAAGATTCATTTCGAACTTCCTCGCGAGGCTGGTGTTGGGAATGATCCCGCTCTTTGTTGGCTTTGCGCCGCGGGAATTCAAAGAGGCCCCGGTATCTGCCCGATGATTCCCTGGAGATGCTGGACCGACGGCCACTCTTGGTCGTGGTCTCCGGAGAGTCAAGGGAAAAAGTAGATGAGTTTTTGGAGCTCGAAGCACTGTCCCGTGCCTCAGACCACTTGGGAATGGTAAAGGGCACTCGGGATGTATCCCAGGTTGCGGATGAGGAGCTGGGAGGGGTTTCGTCGTCGACCTGCTGTTGCTGCTGTTGCTGCTCATAATCAGTCGACTGACGTGGAAGATAAGGACGCGAAAAATATCCGATTGAATTCCGGTGATTATTCGTGACGGTTGCAGAGGAAGCCAGGGCCGTGTCGGCCGCTGGGGTGGCGGGCATGCTCGAGTTGGCGTCGTCGTAAAAGGTCGCACTTCGTTCCATCGACTCTACCAGTTCTTCCCATTTGTTCACAAGGTTCCCATTAGGCCGTTCTGCATCCTCGGCCTTATCCAAGCATTCCTTGGTCCGTTGGTGAAGACGTACTGCTGTCTCGTGGAAGTTTTGCAGCACGGGGTCAATTTCCTCTAACTCAGCCAATCGGGGCGGTGCAACTTCAAGCCATATCCGAATGAGGTTGGAGAAGCTCCGGGCGTGGTCGAGCAAGAATGGGAGACTAGGGAAGCCTTCGCGCGAGGTAGGAGGTAATCGGCCGAGAATCTGGATTGGAGTCGCGTAGGACGGAGTAACAATTGGAGCCGGGCGGTCAGCGGGTATTGCGCAGACCGAATCCACGAACTGTTTAAACTCAGAACGATTGCCGATCAGAAAACGGTTCATCGGCTCCATCCATGGTTCTTTGCTGCCAAACGTAGTCATGTTAGCCAGGCCTTGCAAGGCCTTGGCGATCAGAGTCAATGTACGCTGAGCACGTTGACGAGGGTGATCTGTGGTCCTTTGTTAGCAGTGATCCTCATACTGAAAAGAAAAGTACATACCCTTGAGCAAGCCAAATAGCTTAGGATTTAGAATGGCTGGACAAAAGAACCGTAGAAATAGGAAACCAGAAACACTGCTGTACGTGACCGATCGAAGAAAATCACCATAACGATCCTCCGCACAGGCTCTGATATGCCGGAATATGAGCCTGAGTTCAGGGGGACACCGCGAGGCGGAGTTGGCAATCGCTTTCCAAACGCCCGTTGTGAGAAATATCAAGTGATTCCAATTCCTCTCGAGATCATCCGACCGATGGACGCGAGACGGGTCGACCTCGCACTCGGGATTTTCATCGTCGATGCTGCGTATCCGATCTCCAATCGTTTCATCCAGGTAATCCTTCCCAAGCCGCCGCATATGAGAATCGAGCGCCTTTGTTAGGATTGAGTTCCCACGGAAGAGTAGATTTGCCTCTACCGTAGCAGTCCGTCCGAGATCCCGGACCAGGAATTCTCTTTCCTGGTTGGACTCCCTGGCATCATTCGAGTGGATGCGTGTAGTGTACCGCAGGCGATTGACGGTCGATTCTTTGTGAACTCCATCGATTTCGTCTTCCACGAGCGACGAAATCCATTCCACCGCCTGGCCTGAAACCTGAAAGATGTTGAGAAGCGTTTCGGACAGCTGGTTCAATTCCGATGATATGATCTGTGCCATGTTGACTGTGAGGCCATTGGTAAACGAGTGAAGGAGTTCTGACATCAGCTCATACTCTTGAGACATGAGCACGACAGTCTCCTCCATCCGAGCTCGCATCAGCATTTCACCCACTGGCTGATCTTTGTCGTCCAGAATCGGCCACCATTTCTCTGTTTCCACGCCCGGCTCCAGGTCATCTAGCCGCAGTTCCACCCTTCCATACGTAAGATCGTGCGCGCAAACCTCGACATCATCCAACGGTACCGTGCTGATATCGCGGCTCTGGCTTATCAAATATGTACCATGGGCGATGAGTGTCCAATCTTTTTGGGCTGGATTGAGCGTCTTAACCAGAAGGGAGGCTTGAGAAAGCACGGGGGGAAGGTCGTGGAAGATGAATTCTTCTCTCCAGAACGGATTGGTGGTGCGGTACTTGACGGCGGTTTTGGCCCGAATCTCTCCATCCAGCGTGACTTCGGTATAATAATCACCCTCGGCGGACCTGACGGTGGCCGAATGTCCCTGTGACCTCGATTGTTTTCGGCCTTTGTGGGGTGTGTCTTCCCTGGTGCGGAACAGCTTGGCTTCTGTGACCTTGACCGTGAGGCTTCGCTCAATACGAAACATGTCCGTCGTAGATGTCGTGGCTGGCGGCGGTGGTGTTGGCGCTGGTTGGAGGTTGACAGGCCCTGGGTCATCCTCTACGGATGATTCAGGGCCATAGAGCTCAGGGACAGTAAAAGCCCGCAGAAGAACAAACCAAACTTCAAAGAGCACCCGACTCTCCAATGAGAGATAGATCGGACGGATCTGGGATGGATCGACGTTCGCATGCGCCGCATATTGGGGGTAGATGGCAATGCAGAATTGATCCTCGAGGACCGACGCGTTGAGTTGTTGCACGGCACAGCGGGACAATTGAGATAGTTGAACAGAGTTTATGAGCGAGACGTCCGACTCAGTGAACAGTTTGAAATGACCGTTCTCCTGCAGCGTGCAACTGACCCTCTGCCAAGAAGATTTCAAAGCCCGTTGCTGCCGGGACGACGAGATTTGGCGACCCGAAGCAGGCCGTGCTCCGGAAGCGGTTGGCTTACCCCAGAGGCTCATCTTCCCAACCTTAATGATAGCCGCATCCTTTTGCACAGCACCTTCGGAATTGCGCCGATGGCGGTCAGGAAAACGCCGCTCTCCAATTACTACCGGCTGGGGCTTGGTCATCTTGTTCCGCACACCTCTTGGCCGAATTGGCTGCCAACAGAGCAATGCGGCGAGCCATGAGTCAAATGTTTCACTGACATGAGGCCGCAACTGGACTCCCAGGCCCGACGTGAAGGTGGACACGGTTAGATAATTGTTCTGAAAGTCCGGATCGTACAGGGTTCGCACCCGACAGCCACGTAAATCGGGAATCAAGGTCTTCGTCAATGCGGGTTCTCCTTTAGCCTTGTAGATTAGGTAGACCAAGCTGCCTGTTGCCACATTGATGGCGCAGACCCCGGATGTCCATGCGGTCTGATTAGAAGTTCGGAAGGAGAGGACGCCATGCATGCGTCCACTGGTAGTCTTCATGAGTTGTAGGATTTTTGCAGAATCGGAATTCGAGATGGGGGATGTTAACGATGATGCATTAAGGGAATTCAAGCCAATGAGCATGCCAGGTGGCTTACCCGGCCGTGGCCGTTCGCTGAAAGAATTGGGTGAATATGTGGCAGGGGAACTCATGGTGCTGGGCTGCTCGTCTGGAGTTCTGACCTGGGAGCCAGAGGTGTGGAAAGATCCAAAGCGACGCCAAGGGAGAGTTGCATTATTCGGGGGCATTTCCGTCCGCTCCTCGTTTGTCGTCGTTGTCCGTGATCGTACGCGCCCGTTCATGGCATTGGACGCTTCAGCTTCATCCCCTACTGAGTGAGGGAAATGATATTCTCGACGGTCACCATCGACGGTTCTGGCTCTGTGTGTCGCGCGAGGAGAAGAAGCGTCGCTACCTGGGACGTATTCGGCGTCGTATAAGGGATATTGCTTGTCAGTGTCAGACTCTGGCGTTACAGCGCGAATGCCCGTGCCCCTGAAGCTGTCGTGATTAACAACCATGCCACGGCGGTCTTTCGAGGATGACTTCTTGCTGGAACGCCGTTCGACGGCGTGACTATATGTCCCTCCTTGGTGAGCTGAGCTGTGTTTCATCCCATGTTGATTTTCCGACCCCATCTTGTCTGGTTTGAAATGACGAAAAAGGAAAGAGAGAGAGCCCTTGTTACCTTCTATGCGCGCGATCTAAGTAGCGGTAGTCGAGGGGACTCGCTACGGAAGGTCGCACAAAATGCAAAATGCCGCAACACAGTGCCTTTTAATCTCCTTTCACTCTTTTTGGGTGTGCTTTGTATGTGCGTATGCGTCTTGCGCCTGCTCTCTCTTTTTCGCTTCTCTTTTCCTTTCCCCCCTTTCCTGATAACCCGACTTGTTGGAAAAATGTTACCCTGCAGCCCGTTTACACCCAAGTTATGTTGCGCAACCGTCCTCGAGCAATTGTAGTCCAGTCGTTCCAGCGGGAAACTGGCTGAACGCATGGAGTCCGAAAACGAAAAAGAGAGAGGAGAATCGGATTGCACGTCGAAATTTGGCGCGTCGTAAGAGAGGTAGTGATCGGGTGTAGTTGAGGACGGACGCGATCCACGAATGGTCGGTCAATCCAGGACGATTATCGATCGAATGGTAGGTTTAACGGGGAGGGAAGAAAAACGCACACGGCGCTAGAGGGTATCACAAGAGTCCAATAATCCTCCAACAGCCAGTCGACCGGGATAGTGTCGATGCTAGAAAACCATTGTCTAAGATGTTAGCCTCAGGCAGGGAGAGGGGGGTGGAAGTCGTAATAGTAGCCCGGAGTACGGATCAGGGAGGTGAAGAAAGGAAAATGACGGAGAGGAGCACAGAATTGGATGCAGAGAGGAAAAATATACAGAGAGGAGAGAGATTATTATAAGTGATTGTGATTGTGAGAGGGGGAGAGAGAGAGAGAGCGAGAGAGAGACAGTGAGGAAGTTGTTGGGGGAAAGTAAGAGAGAGAGCGGAAGTGAGAGAAGACGAAGAACGGGTTCCACGCAGCCAAGCGAGAAGATCTGAACGGGCGTCCAGGAGGCCGGCCGAACAATGGGGGGGGGGGGAGTGAAATGACAGACAGAGAGAGAGAAACAAACCCACCGGCATCAGTTTATTATTTCTTTTTCTCTAATCCATAATTTCTTTTCTTGCCGTTGGGATTGAACCCGGGTAGAGCGATTTGTAAAGCACAGTGTGTGGTGAAGAGAGAGAAAGATACGGAGAGGACCAGAAGAGAAGGATGTTTTTCTGTATGACCAGCTGGCGGGATAATTAAGCGAGAGAAAGGAAGAATATCACTACCATAGAGGAATTCTGACAAGAAGAGAATCAAATGATAACAATGGAGGATTTGCTCTATTCTTCACGCTATGTACTATGTGATCTTCTCCCCGAATGGGTAATACCCCCAACGAAGAGAACACAGTTCATTTTTATTTGCCTACGGAAATCTAGATGGTAGATACGGGGGGGGTTGAACCATTCAAAAAGTGGAATTGAATCAATTGGATTGTGATAAGACCACCTTTGCCACAGGAACAGGTCCTTTCAATAAGAAAAGAATTCTCCGTTCATCTAAACTACTGACTGGGTTGCGCGCCGGCAAACTCTCGGGGATGTGCACTCGACAGGTCTGCTTATGCTTAGTCCATGATGTCGATACGGATAATCATGACGAGGAAATAACAGTAGTAGTACTGTACGGAGTAGTAGTTAATCTTGTTCGTTCCACAAGGAGGCGTTCCATGGCTCTGGATAGGAGTGTTCCGGACTCTATTCATACGGAGTACTTATCTGTTCTCTTGACTGTCCACATATTTACCAATTCAGAAATCACCGAGAGTGGGACGGATAATCTTTCATGTTGCTTTTTTCGCTTAATATAAGGACAAGAGGATTGAGCAGCAGCAGCAACAACAACAAACAGTTAGCAGTTATGTAGTTATCTCACGGACAAATGGATCGAACTGTGGGTTCTCAAAAAGCCATAGCCACTATTCAAGTAGGCGTAGTCCGAAGTAGACTGATATGGACAAGAACATAAAGTGTCTCTTCTGTGAAGTCATCATATTTAGTCCTGTTATAACCCACCATTCGGTTCCTGTACATCCTACGTACTAGATATGTACATAATGAATCCTCCGTACAGATAGATTGGTTTTATTGATAGATTGATATGGCAAGTATATTAATTGCATCCTGGGCTTCTTCTGGAAGAAAGCGGAGGCTGTATGTATCGCTCGTGACATACCATTACTGTATTAATGTATCCGGCTATCCCCAAACAAGGAAACACCCCGCACGTTGATCCCTTGGCAATCCACCCAATCAGCTCCACTGCCTTACCTGAATTGGCGCCTCTCCTGACAGCGTAATCAGCCAACATCCCACTTGGCCTGACTCATGTCGTCACAGATCACGTTGCCACGCGTATCGTAATTTACGCTGTTACATAGATTACTGTATTCATAACACATGTCACCTAACTGTAGTAGTCATGTGATTTACACCTGAGGCACTCAATTCCGTCATGCGATCATCTGCTTATCACGAGTACACTGGCACTCTGGCACTGGCACAGGCTGTTTCATCGCAGTCAAGTACATCCTCTTGTCTGCTCATTGCTTGGTTCTCTATCTTGGATGTATTTTGCTGTCTCTTAGTCTAGCTTCTAGCTGACACTGCTTTCTCAACACAAAGATCATTGACGTTGTCGTCACTTATCTAGCTCACGGCCCACGAAGAGGCGGCCACCACCATGCGTTGATACTCTAGAACTTATATACAAAACCCATGATTACTCCTCATCGCCTTCCAATAAACCTCTTGCAAGATGATGAAATCCAATATTCTCTCACGGATCCTCCCTCCAGCGGGCTCTCAATCGGTCTACGAAGCGATCCGAGAACATGACGCCGATTCGAATGCATCAGACGTGGAGGAGCGTGCTGGCCTGGCCTGGGATGAAGAACGGGGAGGAGGAGACCACTACAATGATCAGGAGCTGGAGGAGGCCATGGCCGATGCACAGGGGAGTGTTTTGTCAAGCCCGACCAACAGTACAACGGCGTTCCTGGCCCAAGACCGTTCATCCAAAGAAGGCAAGGGCAAGGGCAAGGGCAAGGGCAAAGCTACATCTCGTCACCGGAAACCGAGTCGACCACGATGGGTTCAAGAAAGAATACCGGAGTACGATGCAGATGATGCCGATGAAGACGTTCCTGCTTCGCTTTTGGTAGAAGGAAACCACGATGATGATGAGCTTAGGTCCAGACTGCCACCACCTCCGCGCTCTCACCCACATCAACCATCTCCGGACCCCGGTCCCTCACCACGCAGCAACATACCTCGATGGGAAACAAACAGGGAAGCTATAGAACAATTGGGACTACACGATGACCTCCAAAATCAGAGGGCACCCCCGGCGGCAAGGTGGTCGATTGGGCAGCATCCGAACCTTGCTTTTGTCGACCCCAAAGAGAAAGCTATGTGGAGATGGGCGAATGTCGAGAATTTGGATAATTTCTTGGAGGACGTCTATGCATACTCTCAGGGGAATGGGATTTGGTCCATTTCTCTTCAACGGGCTATAGGTCTCTTGTATGTCCCATATTAACCTCCGCTGGTATCCATTTTATTGACAAACCATTTTCTTCCTCTTAGGAATTTTGCGTTTATTGTCGGATTTAGCACGTTTCTCACAAACTGTATCGACTACTCCAACGTCAGAGGGAGTCGAACACTGGATGATATCCTCATCAAACGATGCACGACCAAAATGTCAACCACCTCGACATTGTTCCTATGGATGCTCACTTTCTTCTGGATAGAACGAGCCTTCCGATATCTGCTGGACATCCGGAGACTTAAACACATGCATGACTTTTATTATTACCTTCTTGGGATATCCGATGCCGAGATCCAAACAATCTCGTGGCAAGAAATTGTCAGTCGGTTAATGGCCCTGAGAGATGCGAATCCTGCTACGGCCCGTGTGTCCACCCAGCATCGTAAGCTGATGGGAAGTCAGTCCAAGCAACGGATGGATGCCCACGACATAGCCAATCGGCTGATGCGCAAAGAGAATTATCTGATTGCTCTCGTGAATAAGGACATCCTAGATCTCAGTCTACCTGTACCTTTCCTTCGGAATCGGCAGCTGTTCTCAAAGGTTTTGGAATGGAATATCTATCTCTGCATCATGGACTATCTGTTCAACGAACAGGGTCAGATTAAGACGTTGTTTTTGAGGGACACACATCGCAAGGCTCTGGCCGAGGGCCTGCGTCGGCGTTTTATCGTGATCGGTATTTTGAATATCTTTGTGGCGCCATTCCTGGTCGTCTATTACCTCATGCACCATTTCTTCCGCTATTTTAACGAATACAAGAAGAATCCTTCCCAGATTGGTTCCCGCCAGTATACCCCTCTAGCGGAATGGAAATTTCGCGAGTTCAACGAGCTCGATCATCTGTTCCAGAGTCGGACCAATATGTCCTATCCCTATGCCAGCCGATACATTGACCAGTTCCCGAAAGATAAAACAGTTCAGCTGGCCGGATTTGTGGCATTTATTTCCGGTGCGATTACGTCCGTGCTGGCTGTTGCGTCGCTAGTGGACCCCGAGTTATTCCTAGGGTTTGAACTCACGAATGACCGCACCGTGTTGTTCTACTTGGGTGTATTTGGTTCCGTCTGGGCTGTTGCGCGAGGCCTGGCTCCAGAAGAAAACGATGTTTTCGATCCAGAATACGCCCTTCTCGAGGTAATCCGGGATACTCATTATTTCCCTAGTCATTGGAAAGGACGACTGCACAGTGACGAAGTCCGGAAAGAGTTCGCGATGCTGTACCAGATGCGCATTGTGATTTTTCTCGAGGAGGTCCTGAGTATCATTTTCACACCGTTCATTCTATGGTTCAGTCTGCCCAAGTGCAGCGAACGAATTATTGATTTCTTCCGGGAATTCACCGTGCACGTGGACGGGTTGGGATATCTGTGCTCCTTTGCTGTCTTCGACTTCAAGAAAGGTACCAACGAGATTACCCAGGGCGCAGCAGGTCGTCATCATCGAAACGCCCATGATCCTGCCAGGCAGGACCCACGCACGGATTACTTTTCCACCAAAGACGGCAAAATGCTTGCGTCTTACTACGGCTTTTTGGATAACTATGGCGCGAATCCTCGGCCATCCGGCAGACGACCGTTCCATCCACCACCGGCCTTCCCGACGCTCGGGTCACCATCTGGCATCGACTTGGGGCATTACCCCTATCCGCGGTCGGGCCCAGCGGCTGGCGCACCAGGGAGTACGATGATCGGCCAGATGTCTACCGCGGGACCCCGATTTGGGGCTCCAGGCGCGATGGATCACTTATCGCCAGGCCCGTCAATGCTGTTGGATCCACACCATCAACCATCCGCAATGAATCGCACTAGTGCTTACCCGACCTATCGGGCTTCACGTGCGGTCCCGAGAGTTGCTGAACCGATTGAAGATGAAGATGAGCCCCCGTCCATCACCACTGACGTCCACCGCCTGGCACCGCTACCCGCACACACCACCACGGCATCGAGTGGCGGCATTGGGGAGAGCGAAAGCAACCTAGGGGACTCCTGGCGTATGAACCTAATGGGCAGTGGCGAGGATGAGGAGGAAGGTGGGGAGGGCGAGAATGTGGATCGCATCGTTGAAGGACCAGGCGTCCTGGGCATGATCCAACAATTCCAGAAGGCGAATAATGATGGCCGAGGACGGACGACAATTGGCATCTAATTTATTTTTCTTCTTCCCCCTTACGTTCTATATCTGGTATGGCATATTGTTGTCATGACTGGGCTTACACGACAGTTACGGATTTGTTTTGGGAGTTGTCGTCTTTTGGAAGCGCGGAGTATACGGATAACGATGTTACGGTCTGCTCTACGTGCACTTTGGACTTCTTGGATTTTCATAATTTCTTCTGGTTATCTTTACTTGAGTATTACTTTGGAGTAGACGGGACATGGTAGTTAGTTAGAACATCAATGCAATTCCGAATCCCCCGAGTTCCCCGGGTACAAATTGGAAACACAACCAGCATTTGCAGATACAATGGCCTATCCATGTAATATGAGCAGCGTTTATATTCCGTCTGACGTGGGAGATTTGTTTGTTGGGTTGCGGTCAGTACATGCCCTGTCGTCATCTTTCTTTTGATATAGAGTCTCTTAACTGCACAATATTATACACAGTCATTGAATATCTACTCCTGTCTGCGACTTTTCTTTCTTTACTTCACCCCAATGTCAAGGCATGCAAACATGGCCGCTTTTTCATCTTTCTCCTCTCCGCCCTCAAGTCCTTCACTGTATGATGCACCCCCATCATATGGCAAGTAAGCTCATATCTTGTATAGCAGATACATTCCTGAATTACTGACCGTCTACTCAATGCAGAACTCTCCGCACTCCACACCGCTAGCTGCCCGCGCACGAAAACCATCACAGAGCTCGCCAAAGCCCTGGACGAGCACCGAGTAGCCCTGGTCAGAGGTCCCCCATCCGCCGGCAAAACAACCCTCGCAAGGCTCCTCCAAAGCTACTACACCAGTCGCGAAGAGCCCGTCATCTTCCTCACAGGCTGGCCCCGCAAAACCGTCGATCCACCGATCTACCTCTATGAGAAATGCAAGGAAGCCGGGTACGAGGTCGACTACATGACCCTCCAGTACTCAAACATCACATTTATCATTGATGAAGCGCAGCAATCGTACAGCGATGAAGCGCTGTGGCGGGGTTTGATCAAGTCGCAGAGCGGCTGCCAGAGCGGTGCGAGGATCTGTTTGTTTGCGTCGTATGGGAACCCGGTCATGGGGACGCCGGAGGGACCAGGGGGTCCGCCTGTGCATTTTGAATCGGAGCAGCGGGTTTCACTGCTGAGGTATCATGCGTCACATGGGCCGCATTCGAATAATCTCGGGTTGTTTTATACGCTGGAGGAGTTTGAGTATGTGCTGCTGCTGTGGTCGGCGGTTAATGAGGTTGAGATTGCGCCGGTTGCGAGGAAGGTTCTTTATTATGTGACCGGTGGGCATCCAGGGGCGGTTGAATCGCTGGTGGCGTATATATTGGTATGTTTACTTCTTTCTCGCTTTTCTGCCCGCATTGGTCGTGTCCAAAGGAGGACGACACTGACGTTCTCCAGGCATATTACCACTCCGAAGTAGAAAACGGCAGCATCAAAACAATCACAGAAAAACTTCTAGTGGATTGCCTACAAGACGGACCCAATCTCTTCGCTTCCCTCCAAACAACCGTCTTCTTTCGATCAGTCCCAACCTCGCAACAACTCGCACTCGCTCCCGCCGCTGCAACCGCGCTCCATCGAATAATCCAAGAAGGCACAATCCCATGCGACCTGGACGATCCCGGCGTTGAACTCTGCTTTAAGAGAGGCTGGGTGCACACTGACTATACGCACAGTTCTCCGGCCGGGGTTGACAATTTGGTTTGTTTTTTGCCGACGAGGTTGCACGTGAAGTAAGTTTTTGGTCCTGTTCCTGAACCAGAGTTGCGAGTGGAGTTGGGTCTAACAGGGGCTTAGAATATTGGAGGATCTTCTGGGAATAAACCAGCCGGGGTCGTTTTTCTGAGTGGTGGTTGGATCCTTGTCTCCATGGTTATTCTTGCATGGGTATAGCATATGCTGAAAACCAGCCAGAACTGGGAACAGCTAGCGGGCATTGCAATTGATTCTTATACAATTCATAATTAGGAGGGTTAGTTCTAAAATAAACCGTGTCTCACTTCAGTAGAAGATTCGGAAGATTCCATGCAGATCCCGGGGATCGAATCTCGATATTGATTGTTGCTATTTTAGACACGGTCGAGACTCTTTTAGAGCACAAAATGCCACAGAAAAGGATGTTAAGTCCACAGATAGAACAAATCAAATCCATAATATTATTAGGCCATTATTATTACGGCAATATGGGTAACACTACATAATGGAAATGGGTTTTCCCTGGGCGCGGCTCTTGGCCGATTTTATTTTTCTGTCGGTCTCTCCTTTTCCTCTATTCTTCCTTTGCGAAAGGGACATGAGAGACAGGAAGAGTGGCAGTTGCTGATATACGCTCTCTAATGGATAATTGTTGATGCCTTGATAGTGCCTTGTCTTTTTTTTTTTTTTTTTTTTTTTTTTTTTTTTTTTTTTTTTTTTTTTTTTTTTTTTTTTTTTTTTTTTTTTTTT